CATTGATAATCCCACCTTCATCAGTTCTCTGCCGTGCCCTACACACTATTTAAATTGCCAAAAATGTTAGATTTTTTCTCTTGAATAACTAAACCTATCTGTTGCTCTGCCAACGACACTACCATCACTACAAGTGTGATCATCTTGTCCCTGTGAGTTTGATGATTCCGATCACATCCCTCCAGTCACCATCTGTCACCACACGCCCCTAAGATGTTGTACTTCGGACTCTATGGTATATTAAAAGCACTCCAGGACAAGGACTCCTCTATACAGACATGGGGGATAAGATACTGTGATACATACTGGGCTGGTTGTCCTATTAAAAGAAGGTTTATATCTGGTCACTGTATTTTGATCACTGATGATCTGATCTCTCAGAATAACAAGATATATGATGTAGTAGAAGCAGAATATCATGTAATGGTTGTTGCAACATCGAACCAAAATGTCGAACTTGACAGCCTTTTCATCTGCGAGAAAATTGTTTCCTGAATAAAATACTCCAACTTGCTGATATTTTGAAGAAATCATTAAGAGGGCTTAGAATAAGACCAACTTGTTGATTTTGTGACAAAGTGATTAAGAGGGCATAGAATAAAATATATTTGTTACAAGCTTAGAGTATACTCCGTATGATTTATATACTCCAGCTTGAGGGGGAGTGTGGAGTTGTACCTGTAAAGTTGGCCTTCTAGATACATGACGTAAGCAATATAATGTTAACTTCATGACAATGGGATTTAAAAGATATGAAGTTAGGTATGATAGATGATATATTGATATCAAATGCTTGCTTCGCACTTTGACATCATGATACAAGGCGGTTGAGAGCTATCTCTGGATGTGAACTGATATGGATTTGACGATCTGTGAATTAGATACATGTTTCAAGAAGACCCATTTTAATAAAGTAATCCATGAGTGGGTGGGAGGAGATTCCCATACTTAAAAACGATATCCCAGCCAATAAATGGGGTCTTGGTGTCATCATCTTTTCACATGACACAAAAGCTGACCTTTTGACCTCTTTTCTCTTCACCTTTTTCTCATTTTCCAGATTCCTACGACTTTTTGTTAAGGGTGGTGATAGCTAGACCTGGCAAAATTTTAACTTCACTTCACTGACTAAATTCATCTATTACTCTTTATATTGTTTCCAACTCACCCCACTTATATAATTATAGTATATACCTTTCATCTTTTAGGCCATTGTTATGAAACTCCCTTCAACTAGAAGATACAATGCTTAAATACGTTTAGTAATCCCATGGAAACATATTTGGAATAAATATGTAACTTAAAATACAAGCAGTTTAGGAAACTAATACTTATAGAAATATATCATTAGAACTTTCAATGATGAAATAATATTGTCATGTTATCTTTTGTTTTGTAGAACTTTCAATGTTGAAATAACACTAATCTTTAAATAAAATGAATTGAAATAGCTTCATTTAACCGTCGTAAACCAAAACGAGAACTTGTTTTGGGGACGAAGGGAGTATAATGCTGAGCTGCATGTTATATTTGTTTCTGTGAAAAAAATAGCGAGGATGAACTCAAACAAAATGTTGTTGCTTAACTGTGGGCATAATTTATTTGGATTTTTGGTTAATCTTTTTATGCTTTGCCCTGGAATACAGATGGAAAATGATTTCTGTTCATCGGATGAGCTTATCAGTCATGCTAGCATAATGCTGAATCTTTTGACATTGGTCTCAGTCGAGGGACAACAGTTTTATGCATCCACATGGGACACAATGATCTCTGTTTGCACTCGAGAGTTGCAGCATGGTACATGGCTTTGGAAGCAGATATTGAATAAGGATGCTCAGAGTCAAATACTCTCCAATAAGAGAGGTACTGGACAATTTCTCAATATGTTTTCATAATTTTGTAGGCATGGTGAAACCAATGTTCCGAAATGGCATATTGCGGTCTTGAGGTGTTATCCCCCCTGGCGTATTGCTCAAGCCTCAAGGCGTATTGTTAGATAAAATATTATTAAAATTAAATATTGAATGATGGAATGATTGCATTATTACTAGGACGGACATACATTCTGGGGCTTAGTGAGATTTACAAGGTTGCTGTAGTGCTTGAAGCTTCAATTAAGCTTTATCAGCCATGGACTTGGTTAAATTCTGTTGATTTCACAGGCATCCATTCTCTTCTGGATGAATGCCATGCTCTTTGGTCTAGCTCTGGACTTGAGCAGACTATCATGAGTATTTCAGATCTAGAACCTGCCAGCACCATTAGATTGTGTCTTCACAATATCAAATCTATTCGTGATACTGATGCACTCACTCTTCAAAAGCGCCTTTTCTGTCGGAATGATGTTACCTGTCGGCTATCACTCCTAACTTCAGAAGTGTTACATGGTAAGTAATTCAGACTCAACTTTTTCAATTGTGGACAATTCTATGGTGCTGCACCTTGGCGTATTAAGATGTACTCCCTCCATCCCCCAAACAAGTTCAGAGTCTGAATTTTGGGTTCTCTGATGTTATTTACAATTATATTTATACATACTCCAATATATTTTTTAAATAATATATTTTGATATAAATTGCTCAAGAGTATTTTGGTGTTATAAATGAACATATTATCTGATTAATTTCAAAGTCAATGAATTTTTGCTCCAATGATAAAATTGTGAACTTGTTTGAGGGGAAAGGAGTGGATCTTAATAGGGATGTGGTTGTGGACTTGCACACATGAATTGATGTAGGCGTGAACTGAACATGTATTGTCTGATCTGTTGTTATAAGGCTCATCCATCACACACAAAGTGATACACTGATACTGTCAATATTATCTTAATATTAATACTTATTATTAGTTAATAATAATATTATTATTTCCTAGCAGTTTAATAAAATGAAAGTTGTGTGATTAAAATTAATGCCGAGTGATAAAACTATGAGCCAAAAAAAACTCAAATATAGAAATAGACACATCTTTTTGGAATGGGCCAAAAAAAGAAAACATGCAAGTCACTGACCACTGAAGCTTGAATTTTTCCAGTTTCAACCTGTATGTGTGTTTCCTGCCCCCTTCAAATTAGTCCGTACGCTTCATAACCAGGTAGAAATCTCAGGCGGACAGACCCATGCAAAATATAATAGATCTGAGCTTGACAGATCCTAATCTCATCTTGGATTCCAAAATGATGGATGTTATTTAAGACTCGCATATATGTCGCTGTCTTCAAACGTTGGAGTTAGTGTGTGTGAGATAAGCCTTAAATAATCACATTAGTGGCTGTTCTCTTAGTCAACTATAAAATGCTGAACTGCCTCTTGAAACTTAGAACTTCAGCTGTATTTGATATTTTTGGGAAAGGGCTTACGATTACTTATTCTGGGAAACTTATGGTTAAAAATGATATGTCATTCTATCTCCACTACTACTGTTGCTAAACCTGGAATGGTAATTCAGGACAAGTTACCACTCTTTTGAAACATATGAAGTACTTCATTTGTTAGCATCTAGATTTATTTTCTGTTATCTAGCGATATTGGCCCCGTTTGGCATCACCGTTAGAGATTAGCGTTAGCGTTTTGAAAAGGCTATCTGAGTGTAGCCTTTAGCGTTAGCATTTTCAGAATTAATCTACACAGTTAACATTTTATCCAAAACGCTAACGCTAATTGAAAACGCTCTTCCCAAACAAGGCCATTGTTGGGATTGAAGTGTTGCTTTACTTTCCTCTAACTCGATTGCTTGGTAACTTTCAGAATTAGGAATGAAGCTTGTTATTTGGAATGAAGAGCACTACCTTCTGTCGCTCGCAAATTTTTGGGCGAATCTTGTAAGCAATGATCCTCCACAGTGGCCACATTTATGTTTTGCGAGATGAGAAAAACACTCGCGCATACCACACACAAGTGCATACCACACGCAAGGCTCTCAAGAGCATATAATACCGGTGAGAAATAAATACATTTTTCAAAATTTATTTATTTATTCAAATCCGTCGTCATTCTTTTTCCGATAGAGTGTAGTTATATAGTACGCGTGATGTATTTAGTTTTATGCCAATGTGGCTTTAGGTGTGTGATTTTTTTGGTGAATGATTACCCCAAGGGTGCATTCTTTCCATACCTTCATGTGTAAGCTGTTGAACATAATGATTCGAAATGAACTAGTGCAAAGTTTGGGATGTATTGCCATTTCAAACTGGGGTCCTGCAAAGTTTAGTCTGTAATAAGCTTCAAGTGGACTAGTCTTCTTTGTTGAACTGTATTAGCCAAGTAGTAGTATTGCGTGAGATCATCAATGATTGATGAAAATTACATCAAAAGTTCTGCAAAACAAGATGTGTCAAAAATATTTTATTTTATCAAATGATCAATGAAAATGCACAAACAAACAAAAGTTATCGAGCAATCGTAATAGTGACAGTGACATCTACTTAGGGACGGAGGGCGTATTTTTTTAGTGAGATATACTCTCCTTAGATCTTACTCTGAGTGAAATTTTATAAGATTGTTTTTCTTGTGTTTGACATGCTTTTCACAAATTTAATTAGGGCATGTTCTTTGAGTTACAAAAGTTAACTTCCAACCTTTTCAAACTCTTAGCTTTTTCAACTTTTTCTTTCAAGTTCAATTGTTCAAATTTCTTCTAATTACTTCTAGTTTTTTTCCAACAATAGTTTCAAAAAAGTATTTATATAAGATGAATATACAATAGCATTATATATTTAAATTTTAACATACCACCTCAAACACGCACTAGCAATAAATTTTTAATCCTAATTAATGTTTTTTTACATTTTTATTTGGTTGACTATTTAACACTTTAATTTTTCAAACATATTTAAGTGTTTCCAAGTTCTTCAACATTCAACTTTAACTTTAGTATTCTAATACTCCGTAGAAAAGAACAAGTCTCTAGTTTTGGCAAGACGTTCAAATTGACACATTCTTCTCTTGCCCTTGCTTCTTTCTCCTTTTTGTTTTTGCATTCTTTTTAGGCATTGTTTGCTGAAGGTGGAAGTAGTTTTATTGAATGTCATATTCTTATATTTATTGCATAGCCCTATTAATTTGAGCATTTTCTTTTATTTTTAACGCATAGAAATGTGAATCAATAGTATGCTACAAAATCATTTTAATCATATTATAAACTAACATTAGTAGTATAACTTTGTATTGTTTCCGTAAATTATGTAGTTACACTCTATAAACTTTGGTCGAGCTAGAATGATGAAACAAGAGATAATGAAAGAAAGAAAGAAAGAAAAAAAGAGAATAAGAAAGAAAAAAAAGAAGTATCATCAATTGATTAAGGAATGGCTTCTTGGATCAGTTATTTTGAGCTTCCAATGTCCATCCGGGAAGCTAGCATTCTCAGCCCTTCCCCTCCACTTTTGTAACCTCGCCTCATCCTTAGCACTCAATGCGCAAAACCCCTTGAGCCCCTCCGGCATGCCGTCGTAAACCCTCCACCACCGCTCGTGCGCCGAGTCGCTCGCGAATTTCTGGTACTCCGGCCGGTCCCAGTTGCAGTCGTAGTCCCGGTAGCATGCCCACGGCTTTTGCCCCAGGTAGTGCACCGCGTGCACGTCCTCCGGGACCCGGCGCCGGCGGTTCCGGCCGCCGGCGAAGATCTTGAGCCGGTTCGCGCTCGCCGGGAGGCGGTGCCACCAGACGAACACCTCGTTGAGGAACCCCTGGTCGCCCCCGTTGTACGGGACGACCTGGGCCCGCGCCTCCATCAGGGCTCTGAAGGTGCAGGCCGAGGGCTCCAGCACCACCACCCCGGAGTTGAAGAGGTGGTTGTCGTTGGCGGCGGCCGCCAGCTCCGGGTACGCGAAGAACGCGTCCATGTTCCTCAGAGGCAGGACGTCGGAGTCGACAAACACGACCTTGTCGTACTCCGACGCCACCTGCTGGCCCCATATCCTCAGCTTGCTGTAGTTCCACTCGTTGTACGAGTCCTTTTTCGCGTGCGGGTTTTTCACACGCTGGATGGTTTTGATGTGGTCCCACCCGGCGAGTCGGAGGGCTCGGAGGGAAACCTGGGAGATCGAGGAGTCAACGAGGAGTAAGAGGTCTTTGGTTGTGTTGGTTTGTTTGAGGCTTTGAGCCAATGCTATGGCTCCGCAAACATAGGTGTCGGAGGAGTGGAGAACTGACACGTAGGCTTCTCTTTTATGCTTTGGTCTCCACTTTTCTTCTCCTCCTGGTTGATTTCATTCATCATTTATAGCATTAAAAAACAAATCATGATAAAATAAACTAAGACTTATTATACTTACTAATTATAATATAATAATTAGTAATAACGTTAGGTAATTGTTGGGTTACCGGTAGTTTTATCGCACCGGAGAGAAAAGAAAATTAAACCTAAATAAATAAGTTTAGTAAAAAAATATTTGCACATTCTACTAAAAATAAAATGACCTTTCAACGTAATAATAACATCTTACTCCCTCCGTCCCTGAGTGTTTGTCCACTTTCATTTTTGCACACCATCCAATGCACTTCTTTAATCCATTTTATCTTGTAATTTGTATATTAAAAAATTATAAAAATTATATATTAATAATTTATATGTTAAGACGAATCAAACAAGATCACACATGACTATTTTTAGGCTTACACATTGAGAGAATTTGATGAGTCAAAGTGCTTAGATGAACAGTTCCAAAAGTCAAAAGTGGACAAACACTCAGGGACGGACCAAGTACTGTTTTTGAAGGTATAACATCTTACTTTAAACGTACGTTGACGTACAATTAAATTGAAAATTTGTTATTTAATTACCAAAAATGGTTAATTCCCTTTTTTAATAAGACTTGAAACAAATTTTAAATTTATGTTGGTGAAAATGTTTTCCCACTAGTTTAAGTCTTTAAGATTTTCAAAAATAATGAAAACATAATTTGGCCATAGCCAAATATAGTAGGTAGGTGGGAATATGATTTTGGACAGAATTGAATTAGCGATAAATTAATTAATTAATTACTCGTTCAACCAATGGACGGGCAATCTGGCAAGAACCGACCGGCATAGCGAGCTTTTGCTTCAATTTGTTGGGATTGGGCTTGTAAATCCTAACATCCTCTTGAGCCCACAACAAATCATCGCAACGAAAAAGTTCAATCATCGGCCCACATTTCCCAACAAACACAACGTAAACCGGCCCGTTTCTATTTGTCACCGCCAAGTTAGCCACAATCAAGTTCACTTGTAGCCTATACACATCCCTTTTGTTCACCCCACACGGCGCCTCCGCCACCACCACGTCGATCCCCGCGTACTTCGTCCCGAGGTCCTCGGGCACCGGGACCACCGGGCACCTCTGCGCGCTATTCCCTTCGTCAATCCACTCTGGAAACAAGTCGTTCCACTGAATCTGCTTTTCAGAAAGTGAAATTTGCACTAAATAAGACTAAAACATAAGTCATTTCTCAATGTAGGACTTAAACTTTTTTATTCTCTAAATAGGATTTAATAATGACTAGTGAGAAAAATAATGTCTAAGTGATGCTGGACATTTAGTTGAATAATGAGTAATAGATAATGACCAATGGTCCTACATTGGGAAATAAAAACATATGGTCTTATATTGAGAAAGTCATTATGTTTTGGTCCTATTTATGTAAATTACCCTTTCAGAAACGCGCTGGAACTCCACATTCACGACGTCAATCGCGTCCTCTTTCGCGCCACCGCAGTCGAACTTTGCGCCCACCGAAGCGACTCTCATCTTCCTGTTTTTGAATTCGCGGGCCAAAAACGCGTACCAGCTCGGGAGTCCTGAGGATGGCGTTCGAGGAAACATGAAACTGATGAAACGGGGCAGAGTTCGAGGATGTTGTGGGCTTGAGTAGTAAGAGTGTAAGTAAGTAAAGGTTTGGTAGAGGGCACAAAGGGAGAGGAAGAGGAGAAGAAGCACAAAAAATTTGGGCTTTGTTAGAGAAGAAGGCTTATTAGGACCCATTTTTTCCATGTTGAAGGTATAATAATTCGTACAATACGTTGCTTGCATGTGTAGAATGTATATATATACACAAATGAAGGAGCGGGGGTTAGTTATAAAATATAAATATTTTTCCATAAAAGAAATCATTGTTAAAAATTCAAAATGTAGATGAAATTTCAAATAACGCGCACATATATGCATGTTAGATATTGTTAGCACACATATATTTAGGTATTTCATTTTTAATTTGTGGTGCCTCAAATAATATTTATATATTGTTTCATATACAATGCATGCATGTTAGATATTGAATTGTTAGTATAGTAGTGGTGCCCCAAACAATACTTATATATTATTTCATACCCTTAGTCCCGATTTAAATGCAATTTATTACAGAACTCTGACTGAATTAAAAAATAAATTTCTCATATTAAAATTACATCAAAAACTCTACGAAACAAGAGGTTGCTTTGTCTAATAATTATGTTTTGACGGTTAATTATTACTCCTTCAGTCCAATAATTTTCTTTTCACTTGACCTTTTACCGCGTCTTTAATTTAACACTTTGATCATAAGTGTGCGTACGTCTAATAAAAATGTTTCAGTGAGAATATAAATGAAAAGAAATTTGCGTGTGATCTCACCAAAACCTTCACCAAGCATCATAAAAATGTGCATGTGTCTAACATTATATTTTGGTTTAAAGGAAAATGAGATCTAATAAAAGAAATTTGTAGACATAGGATAGTTTAGAATGTAAGACCTAAGTGATATCAAAAATAAAAAAATTTGAAAAAAATCCCGGCGGTAATTTTGAAAGTATATATATCAATTTTTTCTTGTACCAAAAACGCACTACTACGTGTGGGAAATGCATCATTCTTATTTCCTTCACCAAGCACCATATATATAGATTCTCCCCAAAACCAACACACACACACACACACACACACACACACACACATATATATATATATATAGTATTAACTATTTATAGTTTCTTTCATTTCTTTCAATCTATAAGTATTTTTAAATTTTCTTCTCAATATTCCTAAGTTTTTTCTAATCTTTAATTTTGAATACCGTTTTTCGACCTATAATTGGAACTTACGATGCCTTTGTGATGATTTTATTATCTCACCAAACCACGATTGTTAATAATCAATGATATGATAGAGTTTATTGCACCAATACTCTTTATGATTTCAAAAATTATGTTGTTGTCCCCGTGATTCTAATATTCTTATACCAATGCCCTCTAGACTAAAATACCATTCAAATATTAAATGAATAGCTCCGCTGCCTCTTATGGTTCTGGAAACGAGCAGCAACGCCTCCTCTCTTATTTTTCTTTTATTACATTTCATTTTTTTATATTTTCATAAAGAGAAGAAAAATGTTTGTCTTTGAATTAATGAAAAGTTTTTTTTCAAAAATATTTTTTTAAGTGTTTTAAAAATGAAAATTGTCTGTGTTTGAAATAAAAAATTAAAATACATTCCATTTATCTCAAACTAAATATTTTCATTTTTTACTAAAATTTTTTTCTTTTTCTTTAATCTGATGAGACCAAAAGAACACAGAGTAAGGTCTTCTTAATATTTAGTCAATATTTTTGTTTACCAACGAACGCGAAACAAATTTTCTTCATGACTTAATTTTTCTTATTATATAAAAGTGTTTTTCTCATATACTTTCCTTTTCCTTTTTATTTTCTAATATTTTTTTCTTTTCTTTTAATTTTGATTGAAATAAAAGAAGCGTTATAAACTTAATTTTTTAAAAAAATAAGAAGAGAAAAGAAGAAACCATAAAATGAACAAAAAATGTTAAATAAGCTTTCTTGCAAAAAAAGAGAAAATGTTTCATTGATTTTTGTATCATGAAAATGAAATAATAAGAATCTCTTTTGGATAACACAGAAATATTTAATTTGATACAAATGAAGTACTACGGTATAAATTAATTCTTTTTATTTAGTTGCTTTTTTTATTTCGAACACAAAAAGTTTTAACTATTAGAACATTACGGAGCATAAACATAGTTTGAAAAAAAAACTTAGTGCATTTAGTGAGTTCTTGAGATATATATATGCCTTGTTTGGATGTTGGCTTTCAACTGTTAGTTGTTGGCTTTTTATATCGACTGTTCCATATAAACACACACACATAGACACAGACGCGATATTTTTTTTTATTTTTGTACGTGTAAAAATTAAATCGCTAATATGTGGAGTATAAAGTTTTATTTTCATATAATTCATAAAAATTTTTAATATATAAATTTTTAATGATTTTTACTTTTAATAAAGTTGAAGGACTATTTATGAATTTTTAAAATTTGAAAGACAATCGTGCACAACTCATAAAATTAAAGGATCAATAGTAGAGTTAGCTCACAAGTTTACATATATATAGTCTAAGTTTCAATAAATGACTTCGAAAATTGATAAATGTTTGTATTTTTTGCTCCAATCTTAGGATATTGATGTAAACATACATCAATGTTGAAGTACGAATTAAAAAATATGAAAATTCTAAAAGCATCCATGCCATTTAAAGAATATCAAACAATATCTATGTAAAATTCTAAACTTTTGTAAGGGATAGTATTGAGGCATTTTTTTTATATTTTGAACTCTTTTGGGATTGTTCCAATTTCCCCTAATGCGAGTTTCATCGTCATGTCCACCGCTGTCTCCAGAAATCTAATAACAATCCTCCGCCGTCGAGGTGGCGACTCAGCCGTACTCTTAAAGTGCTCTCCTCACTCCACGCGCTCTTCTCCATTTCCGACCGCCGCGGCTACTTTCTCCACTGTCACCCAAAATCAGCCTCTCGGTGTGTGTACAGTAAGAGTTGGTTAGCTTTCGAATAAATGATCTTAGCTTTAATCGTTTTATTGAGCTATTGACAGTGGATTTTCATTTGTTGATGTGCTGACCAGAGAATGATAAGCGGTCTTCATGGTCCAATGTGTTCCTTTTCATACCCGGAGCTATTGCATTTGGCCTTGGCACTTGGCAGATCTTTCGAAGACAAGACAAGGTCAGTTCGATTTCTTGCCTCCACATTAATAAAAATTCAATTTTCGTACTCCTTTCTTGTTTTTATTTGTCCAGAATTAGTTTTCCATTTTCCATATTTAATAAATAAAAATTAATCCTAAAGATAGGGTTTAAGCATTGTTGAGATGAATGCACCACAAACCCATTTGAAGGACTTACTTAACATTTTAAACACATTTCTTAAAAATGAAATTTTTTTAGAAAGTAGACAACTAAATCCGGACAGAGGAAAGTATGTTAGGGTAATATCCTACTCCTTCCATCCAAACTTGTTGTTCATGTTTTAACTTTTGATCAATTCCAATTTATTGTTTCTATTTCTATTTGTAGAAGTGTTTCTCTCTGAATGCACCACAATGACTCATTTTTTTTCTTTATTAAACTTCCTGCCAAGTGAAACTGAGCACAACAAATTGGTATGGAGGGAATATGTTTCAGTTTATTGATTCCTATTTGGTGAAAGAAACACAATGGTTAACTGCTTGTGCATACAACAGTTAAATATTTTTTGTTACTATTGTCATTCATACAGGTTGAAATGCTGGAGTACAGGAAAAATAGGCTGGGAATGGACCCTTTACAATGCAATGAGGTTGCACTTTCGAGTGAAGATTTGAATTGTCTAGAATTCAGGAAGGTGCTATGTAGAGGGGTTTTTGATGAGATGAAGTCGGTTTATGTGGGGCCTCGTTCCAGAAGCATTTCAGGGGTGACAGAAAATGGCTACTATGTTATTACTCCTCTCCAGCCAGTCTCTGATGACCCAAATGAGAGGTAGAGTGGAACATACTGAATATTGATTTTCCATTCTTTTTTTGGTAGTTGGAAATCTTCGTTTCTTGTTGCCTCTTCTTGCCAAAACTCCCAAGTGCCAGATGTGTTTTTGGTTGGTTACCTTCGCGTTGTTCAGCATAAATCACACAAATGTTCTTTCTTTGTTATTTGATTAACTTTTTCTTTTGCTTTGGTAAAACAAGCAGTAATGCAATATTGTTCCTTGATGAAAATTAAGTTCCTGATGTGATTCGGTGTTTCTAAATGGAAATAGTAAAAATGAGAGAGCATTGGAGTAATAGTGCAATATGTTTAGTAATGCAACAATAATTTCTGTAATTACTTCTTGACTTATCAATCATATTATTTCATGAATCTAGTGTTATATCAATCCTTGTCCTTTTATGTTACAAAAATGAATTTTGGAAACCAAGCCTTGGTGATATATTAAGACACCAGGTGATTTGGGCACCTACAATGTCACACTGTGCCTCAGGGCCAGGGGTTGGCCAGGAGTGCAGGGGGTGGGCTGGTTGGGGGAGGTGAGCAAGGGCTTAAGGGGGTAGGGCTCGGTTTCGGGACTAGCAAAGCACCGTAGGGACCTGCAATCACCTCGATGTTGTGGAGTCAAAAGAAGTGAGCCGATTTTAGTGTGTCCTTATTCTTGTGCTCAGAATAAATACTCTCTCTTCAGTTTGAATTTTTTTCTGTCAAAGTGGATGAAATTTGACCTTCAACTAAACAAAAAATGTAGTGAATATTAAAAAATAGAAAATGTTTTTTGAAAAGCTTTTGCAAGATGAGTGTAATGAAATAGTTTTGGACTAATATACGGAGTATAAAGTACATTTTGTTTCATTGGTCATCAAAGTGCATCCAGTTTGATTGAAAAAAGTCAAACTAGACAAATACTCTATAGTGGAGGAGGTATATTATTAACTTTATCTAAATGCATTTTATCTTTATCTAAATGCATTTTAAAACTGTAAACTCTTTGATCAGCACCCGGTCACCGATTCTCGTCAATAGAGGATGGGTCCCACGCAGATGGAGAGACAAGTACCTGGAAATGTCAAAAGATGAGATGCAACCACTAAGTGCAGTGGCACCCTCTGTTCCAGAACCTGAAAAAGATTCCTGGTGGAGAATTTGGTCAAAGAAACCCAAGTATTCCGAGGTTATTTTATTCTTATATATGCCCGTCAACGTTATGAATACTGACATGCAGACTATATTAATTTGAACACTAGATAAGAGTGTTTTCTGTTATATGAACAGGGAAAAGCTAAATACGTAGCTGCCCCTGTAGAAGTCGTTGGTGTTATAAGAGGAAGTGAAAAGCCTAGCATATTTGTTCCAGAAAACGATCCGAATTCCAATCAGTGGTTTTATGTTGACACTCCTGCAATTGCTCGTGCTTGTGGGCTTCCAGAAAACACTCTCTACATTGAAGTCATCAATGATAATGTTGATCCCAGCAATCCATACCCTGTTCCAAAGGATTTTAATACATTACTTCGCAGTTCCGTAATGCCTCAAGACCATCTTAACTACACACTGACATGGTATTCCCTCTATTTCCTTATAGCTTTCTACACAATTCAATTGAGGTGTGCCTATTTTAGTTATTGTACGGAGTATTACTTTAGATAGGTTGCTCCATGTAGTTCTCATTTGTTTCTTTTTTGTTATCAGTTCATTGCATGTTTGTGTATACTACGGTAAAAAAACACTACCTAGTACCTACTCTCTCTGTCTCAAAATTAGTGTCATGGTGTTGAAGTATTCATTATTTCGCTCATATAGGTTCTTTGTTTTGATAGTTCCTGTCCAACTGAGTCTTTCCATTGTTTTTTATAGTGCCTATATATTGTGTATCTCTTGCACCCTTTTGAATGTCTCAAATATATGAACACACATTGTCTTTCTAGTTTTCTACAATTGCTAATCATTGGTCAAACTGCATATTCTTCCGTTGTCTATTTTCTTATATTTTAAATTTACTTAAATAGTAAAATTGTCATCTTATTTTTTTAATATAAAACTCTTGGTGTAGTTTATGCACACGCAATGACACAAAGGAATTGATGCTTTAGACATAAATCTGCATTCAATAAATATTTTGCAGGTATTCCTTGTCAGCTGCTGTGACATTCATGGCTTTCAAAAGACTAAAGCCGAAGAAAGGGAAAATATTGTAATTCCTAAGCAGACACTTATATGCTTTTGTATTGAGAGCCGTCAAGTAAGCATCAACATTCATGTTTTTTGAAAACGAACATCGATGTTCATGATTCACACAAGTATTACTTTGTATATTTCAAAGAACAAAGATTTTTGTGGGAGCAGCCAGATCAAGATATCAGTACTTTGAATAACCAGTATTGCTTGCAATGAGTTGCTGTGGCTAACCAACTTGTGAACTGCATGTCTGCATTGGTGACAAACCCATCTGAACGTGCCAACTTTGATGGGTAACTATGTTTTAGATTGCAAATTGCATGCTTTTTACCTATTACTCTGTTTTTAATGAGACAAGTGCTTGTCTTAAACTTCATGCGGCTTGTGAAGTTAGTCATTAGAGGTGTTTTTGAGTTGAGGATGAATTCTTACTACCTTAGTCATTGAGAGGAAAGGATGAGATTATAAAGGAGTTATAATACATATGGATTTATCATGATAGTTATACATCGAACACCTATCTAACATCTTAAAATGATAATGAAAAGGTGTTTTTAAGAATAAATATATCCATATAATTGTCTATAATATATCTTTGTTTAAGAATAAATTTCATAAATGGTCCTTAATTTACATGTGGTTTTTTTATATTTAGTTCCTAATTCTAAGATATTACACAAATGGTCTTCATTTTTTGAGAGCTGTTTCATCATCAGAGACTATTTTGGAAGGAATATTTTGTCATATTTTGTGTAAAAGAATATTATTGAAATAAATTCTAAAACTTGATGCTTTATGTAATATTTCAAGATTAAAAACTCAATGTAAAAAAACCATATGTAACTAGGATCCATTTTAAGAATTTACTCCTTTTTAATACATAATTGTCTGTACATTTGTTCTCCATATAAATTAGCACAGGTCATTTACACAAAAATCAATAACTTTAAAATAACAAAATACTACCTCCGTCTCACTCTTTTTGTCCAGTTTTGACTTTTGGAACTGTTCATCTAAGCACTTTGACTCATCAAATTCTCTCAATGTGTAAGTCTAAAAATAGTCATGTGTGATCTTGTTTGATTTGTCTTAACATATAGATTATTAATATATAATTTTTATAATTTTTTAATATACAAATTACAAGATAAAATGGATTAAAGAAGTGCATTGGATGGTGTGCAAAAATGAAAGTGGACAAAAANTGTCCAGTTTTGACTTTTGGAACTGTTCATCTAAGCACTTTGACTCATCAAATTCTCTCAATGTGTAAGTCTAAAAATAGTCATGTGTGATCTTGTTTGATTTGTCTTAACATATAGATTATTAATATATAATTTTTATAATTTTTTAATATACAAATTACAAGATAAAATGGATTAAAGAAGTGCATTGGATGGTGTGCAAAAATGAAAGTGGACAAAAAGAGTGGGACAGAAGGAGTACTTCTTAGAGCACTGGAAATGTCCTTAATGTTGGGGGGAGGGGTTTCCGTTTTAACGCCAAGGGGCATTAAACACCACCCCCAGGGGCGTCAAACGTTTAACGGGTAGAAGAGAGCCGGACCCCCCTCAGTTTCAAAGGCCTCCCTTCCACGTAGACGACTCCGATGACGAGGACCTCATTCCACGAACGGTCGGAAGAAAGAAGACAAAACTCATTATATCGAATTTTGCAGGGTCCGGCTCTGTTTCCTCTCACGATGATATCAGTCGGGCAATGGTTGAACAACTGCAGGTGTTCAATAATCTCTTCATCCTAAAACATTTTTCCCATTTACTATTTTCACAACCAAAGTTTAATCACTTTCTTTACCTATTTTTGTTAGTTATTTGATAAAATAATAATCTTGTCACCTCTTATTTTATACAACTTTTAATGCAGTTTTTAAATACGGAGTATATAAATTTTATTTTTAAATTTTACACCTACAATAAAATAAATTGAATCGAAAATAAAGTCAGTCAAACTTCATACGCAGAAGCGGGAAGAACATTTTAGGACGGATGAAGCATTAGGAAAGAAGAGATGGTCAGATGGAGAAACGAAGGCAAGAGAAGGAGCTAGAAATAATGGAAATTGACCTTGATACGTTAATGTGCTTTAAGCGTATGCATTTTGAGAGAAGAGAAAACGAGATCAAGACTAAATATAATTTGCTTTAGTTTTTATTAATGTAAATTTTTTTAAATTTAATGTTATTTTTTATTAAATGTAATTTTTTATTTAATGAATTATTTTCATTTAAATTCAAGTAATTAATGAAATCTTATTTATTTAATTTTAAAAAATGTGGATTTAATTTTTTTTTTTAAAAAAAGGTTTGAAGGCCCAATTTCAAACTCTGATGTAAGTTAAAGAGAGAAGGACAAGAATAGGAGTAAAATGAGTCCTAAACCAAAGAAGGAGCACTATGTTTTGGACTATGCTATGTGTACCCCAAGATTTGTACCCCAATTTGTACCCCGCAGTTTTGCACCAATATTTTGTGTTGGTGTAAAACTAATTTTTGTTAAACGCACCGACATTTGTGTCCGTGTGAATTTTTATTAACGCACCAACACTTGTGTCGGTGTAAACCATTGAAATGTTTGTGCAAACCTGTGGTGTACAAATGGAGTATATTTGTTGGTGTAAGTGTAGCATGGTCCTTATGTTTTTTAGACATAAATGGGAGTTACTACCTCCGTCCCATTGTCTTTGTCCAGTTTTGACTTTTGGAACTGTTCATCTAAGCACTTTGACTCGTCAAATTCTCTCAATGTGTAAGCCTAAAAATAGTCATGTGTGATCTTGTTTGATTCGTTTTAACATATAGATTATTAATATAGAATTTCTATAATTTTTTAATATATAAATTACAAGATAAAATGGATTAAAAAAGTGCATTGGATGGTGTGCCAAAAGGTAAGTGGACAAAGACAGTGGGACGGAGGGAGTATTTCTTAATTAAATGACAAATTTACTTGTTTTTAAAATTACATTGTCACCTTCTACCTTACCGCCACACTGTCATACTCGATCGCCACACTGTCACCTTCCGGTGCCACTATGCTACCACATTGTCACCCTCCGTCGTCGCTATACTGTCACCACTACTTTTACCACCACACTTCCAACTCCTCAGCGGCTTAGCCGCACTGCCAACTCCATCATTAGATTGCCGCCGCTACACTGTCACCACCACTACCGTCACACTGGCTACTCTGTCGCTACATACACTACAAACCTCTCCGACACACTGCCTACTCCGCCATCGTCACATTGCCACTCTACGAATCAACTTCACCGCCACGCTACCAACTCTATCACCGCCACATTCTCAGATTCATCGCTGCCACTCAATCACCACATCGCCACCACACTACTATACCATCACCGCTGCCACCACACTACCATCACCAACGCTGCCACACAACTATACCACCGCCACTAGACAAGTATTAGCAGCTAAAGTAGTCACAGATGGGCCACTTCTGTTTAGTTTTTATTTTGTTTTAAAATATACTCTTACTTTGGGTATATAAGTTTGAGACTCCTATTTTGGGTATATGACTAATGATTTACTCCTATTTGAGGGGGTTTCTTTTTTTATTTTCTCGTTTTGAAACTAGAGTGAGTTGGATGATGGCTAGGATGGCGGAGGTACAGGCGGTGGATGATGTCGGGATGACAACAAATTGGAAGGCTGGGTGGCGAAAGGTACAGGCTGATACGGTTGAAGGAGGTCGGGGTGGCGAAGGGAATTAGTAGGGGCAGCTGGCAGAGGGCGGGCATAAGTTGGGACGATTGGCAGAGGGCTTTTGAAATAAAAGTGACCTTGGTATGTAAAATTTATTTTTATACTTCACTTAAATTATTAAATAAAATGTATTAAAAATAACTTCAATCAATCATAGTAAATGAAAAAAATGATTTTAACTAAGAGGGAAGAAGTACAACAATACAAGTGCACGAATTACAAATTTGAGTAATCCATAAACTTTTAGAAATACAACGGAATATCATTTTTTAATAAATTCACAAATATCCATATTAATAAATTTGCCAATAATATACACCAATAAATACTCAGACCTCTTGGATCAATTCATCGAAGTACAGGTGTGAATGAATCATTAAACACGAGAAGAAAAAGTGGGGAGAAAAAAAAAGGCCAATTAATTATCTGACGCAACCCGCTCCAGCACCAGCGCAAATCCCTGACAGCGACACCACTGAGAACTTACACGCGCCGCAGCTCCACCTCTCCGCCGCCCCAGACTCCCCGTCCGCCGCCGCAGGCGGCAGAACTCTCCCGTCCGCGAACAAACCTCGCCCGTTCCTCGGTTGCGCCGCCTCCACGACGCCGTAAAACGCCACATCTCCAAACCTCCGCTCCGCCTCGAGGAACTCCCCCAGCGAAGCAGGCTTGTAATCGCCGTCCCCCTCCCTGCAAAACCTCCACCACCTCCAGCGCCGATGCATCTCCTCCTCCCCGGCCGCCACTCCGGTCATCCTTTTCGGCGTCTTCTTCCCCCTCCTCCTCCTGGCGCCGTCGTCATCTCTAGATGCCTCGGCGGAGCCCTGCCGGTGACGAGACTGCGAAGGAGCTCTGAATGTCAGCGCCGGGAACGTGACTCCCATCAACGACCCCAAGGTAATACTCCGATCATGGAAAAACGAACCGGTAGACTGTATTCATACACATAATCAGGCAAATAATTCAAAATTTCCTGCACGAAATTGCCAAATACATAAAAATTGAAGACGATACAAGGCAGAGACTAGTATCGCACACCTCAGTATCGAGATCGGAAGAAGAAACTGAAGAAATGGTGGGAGATGAGGGCGGCGGAATTGCTGGATCTGACATTGTTGTTCTTGACGATACTCCGGATTGAAATTCAAAAGCATTAAATTTGTGGGAACTGAAGAAGAATGGGGGAGTGGTTTTCCAATCAGTGTAAATGCTACTGATCAATTTCCAAAATTTGGAGTTAAGTATGAAAAAATGGAGATCATTAGTTCCAAAAGAGTGTAATTATACTCCGGGGCCAAATAGCGCCAGTACCCCGTGATTTGCAAAATAGGCACCAAAACCTCCTCTGTTTTCAAAACTTATTTCTAAAGTTGGTTTCAAAATGCTGCACCCGTGCCCCCTCTAATCATTTTCCGGCCATTTTTCCGGCGAAGAAGAGGGGTATTGCTGCATATTTACTAAACCACAGGGGGTATCGGTGCTGATATTTATTTCTCGCTTATTTTTTTGTTTTTTCCATTTTTCCTTTATTTGTTTCTTTTATTAATAAAGGTTTTTTTAAAATTATTTTTATAATGCTCATAAAATTTAAAGTTATTTTTGTTTAAAAAAATTAACATATTGATGGTGTAAATTACTTGATCGGTCAAACTATACTAGACCGGGTCTAGAATAGTTGGCTTGATTCAGTAAAGTAAAGGAAGTAAAAACATTCAGAATGCCCGGTAGGACTTTAGGTGGAACACCTGTAGCCCGAATTATATTAAAATAGAGAATGCACGGTCACTTTTACAAGGGAGTGTAGAGAGAGTGAATTCGGATCCCCTTCCTCGAGGGTTACAAGAGGTATATATACTAAGCAGGGGGGACAAGACCACGTGTGCCCACGTGGGGGCACGCTGCTGATGCGGGGCGAGGTGACTGGTTTCGTCCTTGAGCTGCCCTGTCGTTTGGTGAGGGGAGTTACTTCCCTTGTCGTGTTCTGGCTTGGAAACATTCCTTCAGCATCTCTGCCACGCCAACCACTACAGTCCAAGTCGTTTTGGACTTTCCCTGCCGACACTCTCCAATCTTTAAAAACTGCACTGGTTGGTTCTTGGCGGTTGGATTTGCCAACTTCAGAAGATGAATTAGACGCCGGTATAGTTTGACCGGTATACTATCCGCTGTATACCGGTCAACCTTTTAGTCAACCAGTCATCCCTCTGTCGACGATTCAAGTCTCTCTTTTGGGTTTGACCTCTTTGACCGGTCAACCATCCGGTCCTGACCTTTGACCGGTCGTGGGTGAAATACACCCATCAATAAGCCCTCCACTTCTCGGTTATGCAATTTTGTCATAAGCGGGAAGTAATACATCTGAAACAGGACTTTCAAATTCGAATTTTGGCTTTTCCCGCTCGAAAACTTTCGAATTTGAAATTTGAAAAGTGTTCGTTGGACACGTGCCGCATGTTGGACGCGCCTCACCTGCGTTCGTTCGCCTTCCCAGGTGTCATGATGGCGCCGCCTGACGCGGCGTGCCCAGAGGAAGCCACGGCGCCCTTTTCTCTTCCTTCCTCGCCTATATAAAGGCCTCCAACCCCATTCATTTCTTCACTTCTTCGTGCGCTTCTCTCGAGTTTCACCGGTCAAGCTCCCTCTTTCTAGCCTTCCAGCCCTCCGAGTCAAGTAAGCTTCCTTCTTCCTTCCTTAGTTTTTCCTTTCTTTTCTTCGCCTCTCTTTTCGGTCAATGTCTTCTCCTGATAGCCAAGATATCTCTGCCTTGGATGCCCGCGCATCCGAGAAATCCCTTTCTACTTCTTCTTCGACCAGGTCGTCTTCTCCCATTCCTCAGCCCCGGTCGATTCCCAACCCTAGCATCCCTGAACCACAGCCGGTAAATCAGATGCCCGGTCATATTTTCGCGGAGAGGGAGGAACCGGTCAGCGATGAACCGGCCCCCTATGACCCGGATAATGAGACCCGGGATCAGTGGGTGGAGAGGTTAGATGCCTCCGGTTACTCTCCCCTCCCCACTTCCTTCGTTATAGACATCTACCCTCGTGTTTCCAAAATAGCTCTGAATAAGGCCCGTAGGAATCTCCCGGTGGGCTATGTTCTCGTGTACGACGAGAACTGGCCCAACATTATCGAACCTCACCGGGAGGATAGGGTAGGTTTTCATATTGCTTCCTTAGAGAGCGGTATCATTTTTCCTCTTCACCCCCTCTTGGTCGAGCTCTGCCACTGCTTTGGGATCCTACCCGGTCAGATTACTCCCAATGCCCACCGGTTACTCAATTCCTTTGCTAATATCTGCGCCCACCTTCACATCGACCCCTCTCTTCGCCTCTTCCTCTACATGTTTGAGGTTCGTCCCGGTAAACCGGGTTGTGAAGGTTTCGTCTATTTCAAAGGACGAAACAACCGCAAGTTCATCTCTGACCTTCCACAAAGTAACCGTTTGTGGAAGGAAAAATTTGTCTTCATAAAATTCTCCCCCTCCGTCACTCCTTTGGCCGGCTTGAAGTGGAGTGATCATCTCCTTAAGCACCAGTTCACCGAACCGCTGGCCACCCCGGATCTGGAGGAGAGCTGGGAACAGCTTCTCAAAGGGGACCCCAACACCGGTCAGATGTACCACTACGGGGGTTGGGTCTGGCGCGTCCAACCGGGTGACGAGGGTACCTCCCGGGCCCATGAAGCAGCGGGGCGCGGGGGACCCTCCCCGGGCAACACTGCGGAGGCTGGAGGCCCAAGTCACCCAGGTATCCGTCTATTTCCTTCTCTTTGTTTTTCTCATTAAACCGGCCATAATTTGAATACTTAGAAGTTTTTCGCCTGTTTTTGTAGACATGAATTTCAGGGCGTACAACATGCCGAGGACAACTGGTGGCTCCTCCTCCGCTGCCACCACAAACAAGCCGGTACAACCGGAGACGGTTGTGATCAATGATGAGGAGGAAGACCCTCAGACCCGGGGAATGGATCGGCCAGGGAATGCACCGGTGAATCCCTCCCCCAACAAGGGGAAGGGGAAGATGAGGACGAAGAAAACTGCAACCACTCACCCGGCCGCGAAGAGAAAAAGGGGAGAAAGCTCCCCGGTTGGTGAATCGATGGAGGAGCTTTGGGTCAAGATGACCCTTAAGCTGAAAGAGGTAACATTCTCCCGGTACGCTACCTTTAGCAACCTGCTTGCTCATTTCCCTAACCGGTTTACTTTCTAATTCGCAGATGGGCGAGGTCGGCCCGGAAACTCTGGAACAGCTCGCCGGTGATTCCTCCTCCCGGTTAAGCCAACTAGAGGAGCAGCTGAAAAGATCCGAGGCTCACAACCAGGAGCTCCAAGATCTGACGGGCCGCCAACTGGATGAGGTGGCCAATCTTGCAAGGATGGCCGGGGAGGCAGAGGCCGAGGTCCTCCGGCCGAAGGAGGAGAACCTTAAGCTGAAGGAAAGGGAGTTTCCCGGCAAAGCCAGGCAGTGGATGGAGGACCACCTGGTGGAGGCTGCTCGGGTGCTCACCTCTTCTCAAGAGAGGACGATGGAGGGCTTCCAGTTGCTGTACAGGGAAGAGCACGGAAAAGAAATGATTACCCAAGTCGGCTCTTACGGTTTCATGTCCGGCCAAAAGAGAGACCGGGAGGCGACGCACGCAATCCTCGCTGAACGGTTTCCGGATTTTGACGCTGAATCCTACGGGCTGGCCCCCATCCCGGATGATGAGCTTGCACCCCCTTTTCCCTTGGAGTGAAGAATCTTCCCGGCTGCGCCAGGTTATCTTTTGTTAAACTCCAAACTTTGAAATTTTTTCCCGGGTATGCCTGGTTTACTTGTAAAACACTTAACCTTCTTATTTTGTTGAATGCCATGTTCGTTTCTTTACCTGGTTAATCTTGCCTTTTGCTTCTTGATTAATATTTTGTTGAATGCCATGTTCGTTTCCTTACCCGGTTAATCTTGCCTCTTGATCTTATTTTGCTGCCTTTTGCTATTGTATTCGACCGGTAGAACTTCCAAGTTTTCTTTGATCACTTTACCTGAAAGATCGGCTCGAGTAACTTTGACCGGTAAACTTCAGTTTTTGCTTTCTTGGCTTATCTTTGAATAAGTCAAGCCCGGTTGAACCACAGTGAACCGGTCGGACTTTGACTTTCGCCTTTTGAATGTCTTCATCTTGGTGGTCAACTTAAAAAGTGTGACCGGCTGAACTTCCCTTTGGCTTTTGAATACCTTCGTTCGATGAAGTAGAGTATGACCGGTACGTTCCCACCTCACGGTACGACCGGTCAACTTCTTTGCCTTGAAGAACTTCCGAAGTTCTGCTGTATCAATACCCGACCGGGGTATTCCTTTTTTTTTCTTTTTTTTGTAACCGGTAGGTTGTAGGTGGAAGCACCTGTAACCTAGTAATTTCTTGGAGTATCCTTAACCGGTAAGAATACTGGAGAATTAACCATGTCGATTGGTTTCGAACCCTCTCCAAGGTTCAAATGCACCCTTCTTCCAGGGCCCCCTCTTCCGGGTGATTTAGTCTTTTAATGGCCCTTTGATTTCTACCATCCCGGGAAGGCCTTAGCTCACCCCCCGTTCAAGTCTTCCTTGAGAAGGGGGAAACAAGATGCGCCACGGTGGACGATCCCCTTCTATTTCTTTTAATGGGCATCTTTTAGTCCCCAATCAATTTGACGGTACCGGCTGATTCCCCGATACCGGCCAAACCTCATGGGCCCGTGTAAGTACGGTTCGAACCTTCTTCCAGGTCCAGCCTTCTTGCAGGCATACCCTCTTCCGGGTTTTAATATTTTTTCTATTATACTGAGCAAGACCGGTGTTGTAACCAGCGTGCCAGGTCCGGGCCTGTGTCTCAGTTGGCCTATCCAAGTGGATCCGATCCACCCGGGAAGCCCTCCTAGGATAGGTTCGACCTATCAATTCTGCTGGTACCATGTAGAATATTGAACCTTAATTTGGTTGATAATTGAAGTAGGCCTTGCCTAGTATTACAATCACTTGTAGAACTTGCGAAGATGGTGGGAATTCCAGGTTCGTTCTACCGGTACACCCTCTAAAGTTTCTAACCGGTAGGTTCCCGGGCGGATGATGGCTCTCACCCAGTATGGGCCTTCCTAGTTTTTGGCCAGCTTTCCCCAATCGCCCGGTCTACTAGCCTCTCTTCTTCGCAAGACTTCATCGCCGACTTGGAAGTATCGGTATGTGCTCATTTTAACCTCCGCGGCCATTCTTCGTTCTTCGACCAAGTTGAGCTCGGCCAAGTGGTCTTCTTCGTTTTGCTGGGGCTGATAGTTTGATTCCCGGAACGTTGGGAGTTCAGCTTCGATGGGTAGCCTTGCCTCACACCCATAAGTTAGGGAAAATGGAGTTTCCCCATGAGCCCTCCTGGGTGTTACTCGGAACGCCCAGATGATATGTGGGAGCTCTTCCAGCCACTTGTTTCCTGCTTCTCTCAGTCGTTTCTTTAGACCATCCACAATCGTTCGGTTGGCGTTTTCAACTTGGCCATTTCCTTGGGGGTACGCCACCGAAGAGCGATTGTGCTTGATTCCAAAGCCCTCCAAGTATTCGGTGAATCGTGGGTTTCGGAATTGTGGGCCGTTGTCGGTGATTAGGTTCATGGGAGCTCCAAACCTTGTGATGATGTTCTTCCAAATGAACTTCTTGCATTGTTGCGTGGTAATGTTGGCCAACGCTTCGGCCTCGATCCATTTGGTGAAGTAATCGATGGCCACAATGACAAATTTCTTCCTTCCTTGGGCGATTGGGAAGGCTCCAATAATATCAACCCCAAATCTAGCGAATGGGATGACATTCGATACGGGGTGATAGTAGGTTGCTGGCCTACCGTGATACTTATAAAATACTTGGCACGCTCTGCATTTCTGAACATACCTCTCGCAATCCTGGACAATTGTTGGCCAGTAATACCCCAACAAGATGATGCGCTGGGAAAGGGTACGGGACATTTGGTGTGCTGCGCACACACCTTCATGAACTTCTGCAATGACTCGCTCAGCTTCCCGGTTGGTTAGGCACCTCAGGAGTGGCCCCCCGAATGCCCTTTTGTATAGCTTTCCATCAAGGACTTGGAACCGGGGTGCCCTCAACTTCACTTTCTTGCCCGGTCTTCTTGTTCTGGCAAGGTCCCGTCCATCAAATATTCCATTAGATCGTACATCCAATGGTCATCCGCCCCGATCAAATTTGACCGGTCAGATTGGCCTTCCCCTATTATGGCAGCTACTTCCAGTTTCTCGATGCTGGCATGGTCTAGGATTTCCACCCGAGCAAGTTTTGAAACATGCTCGGGAGCATACTGCATCAATTTGGAAAGAAGGTCAGCATCTGCGTTCTCTGCCCGGGGAACCTGGGTGATCTTGAATTCCTCGAAGCCTTTCAGCAAGGCAAGTACCAAGTCTTTGTACTGTGACATTCGTCCTTTCCTAGCCTCCATATTACCGGTCACTTGCCCAACAATCAGACTAGAGTCAGATTTGATACTGACCCGGCTGATTTTCAGGGCTAGGGCAAGTCTGAGCCCTCCAGCTAGAGCTTCATATTCTGCTTCATTATTCGTCAGCTTGAAGTTGAAGACAATTGCATGGTAGATCTTGAACCCTTCTGGGGTGGTAAACACTATACCACCCCCGTACCCTTTAGGACCGGATGCCCCATCTACTGCCATCTCCCACCATTGCTCGGTGGGTTTGTCGACCGGTAGGTCTGGGGTTAGACCGGTCATTTCTACCAGGAAGTCTGCAAGGGCTTGTCCTTTGATCGCTGTCCTTGGCCGGTACTCAATGTTGAATTGAGTTAACATCATGGCCCATTTCACCATCCTGCCGGAGGATGTTGAATTTCGCAACACTGCACCCAGCGGTTGGTCAGTCAAGACTTCTACCGGGTGAGCTTGGAAGTAGGATGTTAACTTCTTTGCGGAGATGAAAAGCGCGTAAGCTGTTTTTTCCATCGCCGTGTATCTACTTTCTGCTCCGTTTAGTGCTTTGCTCACATAATAAATGGGCTTTTGTGCCCCATCATCTCTTATTAAAACGGAGCTTACAGCATTTGGGGAAATTCCCAGGTACAGATACAGAGTTTCACCCGGTTCGGGTTTAGACAATACAATATCCGATACTAGGTACTCTTTCAGCTCCTCAAATGCCCTCTGGCAGTCTTCGTCCCATGCAAACGTGTTGGCCTTCTTCAGGACTTTGAAGAAGGGCAGGGATCTCTCAGCTGACCGGGAAAGGAACCGGCTGAGGGCCGCTAGACGACCGGTCAACTTTTGCACATCCCTAACCGAGGAAGGGGCTTGCATTTCAGTGATAGCCCGAATTTTTTCTGGGTTGGGTTCTATTCCTCTCTTGGTCACCATGAATCCCAAGAACTTCCCGGTGCGAACCGCAAAGACGCATTTCTTGGGGTTCAATCGGAGGTTGTATCTTGCCATGATATCAAATGTGGCGTGCATATCAGCCGGGTGGTTGAGAGATACCTGGCTTTTGATCAGCATGTCGTCGACGTATGCCTCCATGGTTTTCCCCAGTAGTGGCTTGAAGAGTTTGTTCACCATGCGCTGGTAGGTTGCCCCCGAGTTCTTCAAGCCAAACGCCATTACCCGGTAACAATAGGTTCCTTCGGGTGTGAGGAATGACGTCTTCTCCTCATCCTCTTTTGCCATGTAGATTTGGTGGTAGCCTTTGAAGGCATCCATGAAACTTAGGAGTTCGCACCCCGCAGTTTCGTCCACCATTTGATCCGGACTGGGGAGGGGGTATGAATCCATCGGACAAGCCTTGTTTAAGTCCGTATAATCCACACACATTCTCCACGTGTCACCCTTGGGAGCAAGGACAACGTTGGCCAACCAATCCGGGTATTTGACTTCCCGGATGTGACCAACACTGAGGAGGTCCCTCACTTCCTTCTTGACGAAGTCTCGCCGGTCACTGGCTAGGTACCGCTTCTTCTGACGTACCGGTCGACTTCCCTCTCTCACGGCCAACCGGTGGTAGATAACAGAGCGATCTATTCCGGGCATATCTGCCACGCTCCATGCAAATATGCCCGCGTATTCTTGGAGCACCCGTGTAATCTCCGCCTTGAGGTCTTCTGGGAGATTCGCCCCAATTCTGACCGTCCTTGAAGTATCTCCCGGGTGAAGCTCGATCTCGACCATTTCTGCTTCAGGCTCCAACTTCTCCCGGGTTTCACCCTTTGTGATTTCCTGGGAGATGACATTGACCCCCTTAGTCATCTTTTTGACTGCCCGGGCATAGCATTCCCGAGCATTCCTCTGGTCACCCTTCACCTCACCCACACCACCAGGAGTGTGGAACTTCATGCATAAGTGAGGCATGGAAATCACCGCCCCGACCTTGTTAATGCCAGACCTTCCAAGGATGGCGTTGTGGACGCATTTGATGTCCACAACGATGAACCGCATCTTCTTCCACACGGTCTTTTCGCCCAATCCTAGTTCGACCGGTAGAACTATGGACCCTTCAGCTTCTACCGTATCTCCCGTGAAGCCTGAGAGAGGGGTTTTGAGGGGTTCAAGTTGTGTCCGACACAACTTGAGTTTCTGGAAGGTCTCCAGGTAGAGGGTGTTGACACTGCTGCCGGTGTCAACAAGTACCCGGGCGACGTCCACCCCAATGATGTCCATGGTGATGACCAATGGATCATTGTGATCTTCACCGGTAGGAGGGAGATCCCGGTCAGTGAAGACGATCGGCTCCCTCCTGGTGTGCTTTCGCCTGGCCGGTTCAGCACTTACCTCACCAACGTAAATGCTGCGGACCCAATTCTTCCGTTGTGCGGCCGAATCTCCACCCTCGGGTCCGCCGAATATCATGCTGATGTGTTCTTTTTCAGGGGCCGGCTGCTGCTCCCTTTGCCTGTTATTCCTTCGCCGGTCATTATCCCGGTCATTCCCCTGAGTCGCTGGCCTGACCCACTGGTGGTTCTTCTCCTGTGCTTTTTGCAAATAATCTTTGCCCAGCTCTCCGTTGTCTATCATTTGCCGGATTACCCCCTTAACACTCTTGCATTTGCAAGTGTTATGGGAATCTGACCTGTGGTACGAACAATAGGTGCCTGACCACTGCCGTCCTACTTGACCGGTAGGAGTTTCCGGAGGATTGACCGGGAAGGAAGCCGGGGCTTTCCTTACCTCCTGGCATTCTTCTGTGTTGACCATGCGGACGACCGGGTCATAATGGTGCCTTGGCCGGCTAGGTCCCGGTGCTTCTTCCTTCTTGACCTGCACCGGCTTGGGTTTGAAGCCATGCTCAGCTTCTTTCTTTGCCCGAAGTTGAGTTTCAGCCTCAGCAAACTCCCATGCAAACTCCCATGCAGTGTGGTAGGCCTCCTGATACGTGGCCGGGGGTTTCCGGCAGAATTTCTTGTATAGTTCCCCAGCACGTAAGCCACTCAAGAGGAGAGATAAGATGGTTTTGTCATCCATCTCTTCCACCTTGTCTACCTCTTCCTTCCACCGGGTAAGGAATTGGGTAAGGTTCTCGGATTCCCTCTGCCCGGCTGTACTAAGATAAGTGAACTTCTTCCTCTTAGTACAGTTCTCCTGGAACTTGGCCTTGAAATTTGAGGCCAAGTCACTGAATGAGTCAATGCTTCCTGGGCGAAGCTTTTTGAACCATTCAGTAGCTCGATTTCGCAAAGTTTGGAAGAAAAGGGGGCACTTTTCTTCGTCTGTACAACCATTCATGGTTGCACTCTAATTGAAGGAGTCCAGGTGAATTTCTGGATCTTCCTTCCCGGTGAATCTTGGGGCGTCTATCTTGACCTTTCGCGGGAAAGGTGTCAGATGGACCCTTGTGGTGAACGGGGACCCTGCGAGGGGCTTGTCCCGGTCATTCTTCTCCCCGGCCTTCTTCTCCAGTCTTTCCAATTTTGCCTCCATCTGCTGGACGCGATCATTGGGGATGTTTAACCGGTTAGCCACCGGCACCCTGGGTTGGCTTTCTGCCTCCTCCTCCTGGCGAGAGGCCCTCGTCCTGGCTGGCTCCTGCCGGTTTGACCGGGAGCGTTGGGTGCGGGCAGGCTCGGCCTCCCTCACCTCACCTAACCGGGCAAACGCGCTGACATGGGCAACGCTTTGCCCCAGCCTCAGCTTGGCTGACTTCCTCTGGCCCTCTTCCCTATCCCCCAGCCTTTCGAAGGCGGAGTTTCGGGAAGTTGCAAGGCGTATGGTCTTTCCCTTCTTCTTCTTGTGGGTCCTTGGAATGTCCCACTCATCGTCTCCGCTTTCAACTGAGACGCAGTGACCATCTGGAGTGATTAGCGGATTCGTACCTTGCGGGGGACGCGACGGCCTTGCGGCGTTAAGCGCACCTGCCAAGTTAATGGGGGCCACAACACTGACTAGCTGCGGCTGGAAAGGTGATGGCTGCGGAATCGGCGTCTGAAACGGAGTCACTGCCATTGGAGCTTGTAGGGGCATGGTTCCCGCGCCTCGAAGAGCGAACGGGAACATACCAGGGATGAAAGGCATCCCCCCATTTTGTTGGCACATAGCCATGAACTGGCCAAAGCCCTGGATGGCCTGCAGGTTGGCTGGGTCATTCATGAACTGAGTCATGCTAGGTGGGAATGTGACCCTTGGCCCAGCGGAAGGGACGGGGGCCGTGAATGGGCTAACCATGCTGGGTGTTGGGACCGAGCTTAGTCCCAACGGCAAAACCGGAGTTGAAACGGCTGGCAGGGTAGCAACCATGGGGACGCTGGTACCTTCAGTGGTGGCTTGCACCTGAGCAGAGGTAGCGTTGATTTGCTGACTGGAAGACATTTTGAGTGGTGTTTTTGTGGGTAGGTTTGTGTTTAGAAGAGAAGAAACCTTAACGGTCCCACGGTCGGCGCCAAAAATGATGGTGTAAATTACTTGACCGGTCAAACTATACTAGACCGGGTCTAGAATAGTTGGCTTGATTCAGTAAAGTAAAGGAAGTAAAAACATTCAGAATGCTCGGTAGGACTTTAGGAGGAACACCTGTAGCCCGAATTATATTAAAATAGAGAATGCACGGCCACTTTTACAAGTGAGTCTAGAGAGAGTGAATTCGGATCCCCTTCCTCGAGGGTTACAAGAGGTATATATACTAAGCAGGGGGGGACAAGACCACGTGTGCCCACGTGGGGGCACGCTGCTGATGCGGGGCGAGGTGACTGGTTTCGTCCTTGAGCTGCCCTGTCGTTTTGTGAGGGGAGTTACTTCCCTTGTCGTGTTCTGGCTTGGAAACATTCTTCAGCATCTCTGCCACGCCAACCACTACAGTCCAAGTCGTTTTGGACTCTCCGTGCCGACACTCTCCAATCTTTAAAAACTGCACCGGTTGGTTCTTGGCGGTTGGATTTGCCAACTTCAGAAGATGAATTAGACGCCGGTATAGTTTGACCGGTATACTATCCGCTGTATACCGGTCAACCTTTTAGTCAACCAGTCATCCATCTATCGACGATTCGGGTCTCTCTTTTGGGTTTGACCTCTTTGACCGGTCAACCATCCGGTCCTGACCTTTGACCGGTCGTGGGTGAAATACACCCATCACATATAATGTATATGTACTTCTCAAATCAACAATTTTTGTTTTTCTGAAAAAAGTAAACTTTTTTTTGAGAATTTCAAAAAAATGACGAATAAAATAAGAAACAAAGTAATAGAAAAATAAAAATGAATATCTTTTTCGAACATCTCAATTCTAAGGACTTTTTTAGGCTTGTCCATTTTTTTGTAGGACCATGCTACATTTACACCAAAAAATGTACACCATTTGTACACCACACTTATGCACAAACATTTTGACGGTTTACACCGACACAAGTGTTGGTGCGTTAACAAAAAATTACACGGACACAAAGTGTTGGTGCGTTAACAAAAATTAGTTTTACACCAACACAAAATGTTGGTGCAAACTTGTGGGGTACAAATTGGGGTATAAGTGTTGGGGTACACATAGCTTAATCCTTTTTTTGTATCAGACTTTTTTTGTGTATTTTTATTTTTCATTTTATTTTTCCATATTTTTATTTTTTTATTTTAGGTTTTTCTTTTTGAACTTTCCAAATTAGTACGTAACAAAAAGTGAAAATGTTTAATTTCAAATAGATGCAATGTATGTTAATTCTTTATTTTTATTTCAAACACAAAAAATTTTAGAATTTTAAAACATTATAAAAAATTGAAAATAAATTAGAAAAAAATATAGGAAAAGAAAAAAGAGATAGAAAATATTTAAAAAAAGAAAAACACAAATAATAAACGAAAAATAAAAAAATGAGCACGAATACCCCCTATGGTTTAAAAATTATGCGCAAATACCCCCTCTTCGCCGGAAAATGGCTGGAAAATGATCAGAGGGGGCACGGGTGCAGCATTTTGAAACCACGGGGACTTTAGAAATAAGTTTTCAAAATAGAGGGGTATTGGTACCAATTTTCCAAACCACAGGGGGCACCGGAGCTATTTGGCCTATACTCCGGTCTCCGTATAATGACTAGATATATTGATTTTGAAAGAATGTAAACAAAACTTAAGTCCACATTCATTTAATTTTTAGTGTATCTTAAAAATCTTATTAAACGGTTATTTATGATTTCAAAGTCAATTAAATCAATTTTGACTCTGTCAAAGTCAAACACTCAAAAATATGAGATCGGAAAAAGTGTTACAAATAAATATAAAAATTATAACGTTGGATAAAGTTTAACTGCCAGATCGCAACGGTGCAAACAAAATTCAATTCGGAGAAAGTTGGACCACAAAGTGTACCCCGACTAGAACCAAAATTGGTCCCAATCAGGGAACGGCGTGTAAATCTCAGGTGTGCACTAAGGAAATTCTACGCAACACAATATGGAACTAACAATATATATATATATATATATATATATATATATATATATATATATATATATATATATATATATATATATATATATATATAGGGGCCGATTCCTGTGAGAATGCACCTTGTGGAGAGAAATGAGAATAAAATCTAGCCGTCAGATCTAATGCATCGTGCGGCTCAGATTGCATCCTGCGCTTAGATTTTGAGATAGTGCATTTTCGAAGGTGNATATATATATATATATATATATATATATATATATATATATATATATATATATATATATAGGGGCCGATTCCTGTGAGAATGCACCTTGTGGAGAGAAATGAGAATAAAATCTAGCCGTCAGATCTAATGCATCGTGCGGCTCAGATTGCATCCTGCGCTTAGATTTTGAGATAGTGCATTTTCGAAGGTGTATGGTGCATTTCTACGTGATGCATTTTCGAACCATTTTGGTGCATATAATTTTGATGAAATCTTGACCCTTAGATCTCACAATCTAAAGCACCAGATTCATTCTCATTTCTCTCCTAAGATTGCATTCTCACCAGAACCAAAATCTATATATATATATATATATATATATATTCCCTTCAACGGATATATTAAACCATCCAGCCTATATATAGCTCCTACGGAAGATTGGAGAAGACAGAGAACACAATACAACAACGGAGCAATCTACCATCATTCACAGTTAACCAAAAGCTTGATAAAGAGAGAATTTAAAACTTTTTATCGAGAAGCAAACTCCTCCTTCTTCCAAAGAGCTATAAGTGAAAATACTTAAAGGTTTCCTTGCCTCAAGTACAACACCACGTTGAAAGATATTTTTTTAATCAAACATCTTGATTAAAACGGGGCACATCAGCTTTCTTACAAGCTGATCTTGCAAGTCCTATTGTTCGGACCTTGCAGTTGTTGAAGAAGCGTGACCTTCGAAGGAACAACGAAGCTAACACGAGTGCAGTAGCAATATTGGCCTTGCGAAGATATACTGTGCAAATTCACAATTGTAATTGTTGGTTCATTATCTACAACCAACTCCATAGTGTATTTTGAGGACGTAGAAGGATTACCCCACCTTCGAACCTCGTTAAAGTTTGCGTGTCTCTCTCTTTATCTCTACTTATTTTTAATTATATTAACCGTGAAACTAACCAATCCATATTGATTACTGCTCCAACTATCCACCAACTTCCGCACACTTAATCTAAGTTCTCAAGGACGATTAACAACTGTTCAACGTTTTGAGAAAGAAACGAAAAAGATTTTAAATTTGTAACAAAGTCTATTCACCGCCCTCTAGACTTTGTATCTCACCACTTCAGGGACCATCAACGTCAAACTTTAATCATGTTTTTATATCCATTTTTGCTGTTCATTTGACAAAATAATATAGTCTTGGAATCACTTATTTTGTAGTACAACTTTTGATGAGATTCTTAAATGTATAAAACTTATTTTTTAAAACTTATACCAATTTTCAAATGAACTGAACTAAAAACAATTTCAGTCAAATTTCGTAAAATATTTGATCTTGAGTTGCGCTATTGTGGTACTAAGAGCAAAAAATTGCTGTCAGGTATCCCCTATTTTATGGTAAGAACTTCCTGGTACCCTCAGTTTTTAAAATATACTTTCAGGTACCCTGAATTATAAAAAAAATAACAAGAGAAGATTTTCCATCCATTCTCCGTCTACCCCATTTTATCCGTCAAGTGCACCACCATCACCACCACCATCATCAGTCCACCACCACCTTCTTCTTCTTCTTCTTCTTCTTCTTCTTCTCCTCCTCCTCCTCCTCCTCCTCCTCCTCCTCCTCTTTCCACTTCCGATCTTCCCGACCCCCCCACCCCTCACCCTTATTTTTTATTATTATTATTTTTGTTATTGTTATTGTTATTGTTGTTGTTGTTGTTGTTGTTATTGTTGTTGTTGTTGTTGTTATTATTATTATTATTATAATTATATATTATTATCATAATCATCATCGTCATAATCATTATTCTTCTTCTTCTCACTATTATTATTATCATTATTATTATTATTATTTAGTTGTTTTACTACTCTATTTTTAAGAAAAATAGCATTAAAGCTCCCACCAAAAAAATTGTATATTCCATTAATCTTTCACAATCTCTATTAATGTAAACAAAAATTATTGTTTGGTACCCTCAATTTTGTGCTCAAAACTGTCGGGCACCTTCAATTTTATAGTGAGACTATTAATTAATTTTTAATAATAATAATAATAAATATTAATAATAGAAGAAGAAGAAAATATTACTTCATAATAATAAAAATAAATAGTAGAGTTAGAAGAAAATTATACTTTGTAATAAATAAATAATAATTATTAGTTTTAATATTAAAAAATTATTAATATTAACTTTTAATATTAACAATAATAATTTAGAAGAAGAAAATAACACTTTGTAATAAATAATAATAATAATAATAATAATAATAATACATTGTAATAATAAGAATGATGGTTTTTTATTAACAAAAAATGATGATGATAATGATACTAATAATAATAACAACAACAACAACAACAACAACAACAATAATAATAATAATAGTAATAATAATAGAAGGAGAAGAAGAAGAAATAAAGGGTGAGGGGTGGGGGTCTGGAAGATTGGAAGTTGGTGGAGGAGAAAAAAAGAAGAAAGAAAAAGAAAAAGAAGAAGAGGAGGAAGAAGGAAGAAGATGGGATGGTGGTCATGATGATGATGATGAATTTGACGAATAAAATGGGCTAGATGGAGAAGTGATAGAAAATATTAAGTTTTTTTATAATTTAAGTTACGCGAGAGTATATTTTAAAAATTAGGGGTACCTAGCAGTTCTTACCACAAAACAGGAGGTACCCGGCAGCAATTTTTTATACTAAGATCTACATATGAAATGTTGACATTCTAACATATTTTTCATGAACGAATAATTAAAACTGTTTCTAGATAATCCTTTTATGTATTAAGTTTCAGAGTAGGAAAGAATCTGCCTTCCCTCTTGATTTTATAATGATTTAGCGTCATTTACTCCTATGTTTTTTAAAATTGTGCGGATTCATCTTGAACTTTAAAATTTCTGCCTATGTCCCTAAATTTTTAAATATATACTCCCTCCGTCCCGGAGTATTCGTCCAGTTTTGATTTTTGAAATTGTTCATCTAAACACTTTGGCTCATCAAATTCTCTTAATGTGTAAGCCTAAATATAATTATGTGTGATCTTGTTTGATTTGTCTTAACATATAGATTATTAATATATAATTTCTATAATTTTTTAATATACAAATTACAAGATAAAATGGATTAAAGAAGTGTATTGGATGATGTGTAAAAATAAAAGTGGACAAATACTCTGGGACGGAGGTAGTAAATTTTATTTTTTAATTTCATACTAATTTTCAAATAAAATAAATTAAAAATAATTTCAATCAAATCTCATAAAAAAATTCGGTCTTGAATTACGTTATTGTGGCTCTAAAATCTACCTATAATATACGGTGTATGTATTTTTTCACATATTGTTAAGAGCACATAAATGGCATAATTAGATTTTTTTAGATGATTTTTTATGTATTAAGTTTGATAAAATGAGTAAAAAGAGAATTTGCCTTCCCTCTTGATTATATATTGATTATACAGATGCTTACTCATCCAAGTCTTCTTCTTCAAGACCATCTAAGAAGATCAACACGAAATTCCCTCATTTTTTGGTGCTAGATCATAGCCCTTCTCCTCCATCAAGACGCAGGAAGATAAGAAATTGGATCGTTTTAGGTTAAAGATATGGATTTTGAGTTGAGACGAGCTAGAGAGAAGCTGGAGAGAGAGCAAAAGGAGCGGAAAGAGAATGCGAGGTTGAAATTGGAGAGGGAGAGGAAGTTTAAACAGGAGGCTATTCGGCAGCGGGAAGCCATCGAAGCCGCTCAGCGTGCTCGCCGTCTCGATGCTGCAGAAGCTGAATTTAAGGTATATTCTTTCTGCTTTCTGCTCTACGCCTTTCCCTCTCTGAATCTCTTCATTTCCAATTTTTGTGCGGATTGAAGATCGGTAGAGACTCGATTCACTTTCCCTTCTACTGTGTCCCGTTTGTTGATAGTCAATGTGAATTTGTGTATAGCCTGCATAGTGTTTATCTTTCTGCGAAATCTGGAAATTCTCGGAACTATTAATGGTTGATCTCGACTGTTTGCAACTTTGCATCCACTCTCCTTCGATTCACTGATTAATGATCATTTTTTTTTTGGAAAAGACAAGTAAAAAAACAATATTATCAATAACCTGTGTTTGTGTGGACTGGAGTTCTACTCTTCTCCCATTTTTCATTTATCATCCATTCAGATTGGTTGATATGATTACTCTATAATTAATCAATAATCTAAAGTCCAGAATTAATTAACATGCAATCAACCTAATAGACCTGAAAAGTAGCACAAGATTTCAATTCTTTGTTCATTACTGTTCTAAAAATCCCACCTAGCCTGTTGCTCTTAGACCTCCCTTGACTGCCTCCATTTTTCTTTTCTAAATTTGGCCTTGCCAGGTCCTTTGGTTAAAGCCCTTACCGAGGATATGACCTTTGATAGGAGTATTTGGAGAGATAGAATTAGAGGATAGTTGGGTAGCATAGCAGTGGTTTTCGTGCTTAACAATGTGTGCTTCATTTGCTTGGTGCTTCTTGCCTTTTTATATCATTTGCCCGCTTTATGTTTCTTTCTGTGTGCTCTGTGCTCTCTGTGTTACTCGAGCTGGGGGTCTCTAGGAAAAGCCTCTCTACTTCCGAGTAGAGGTAAGGTCTGCTTATACACACCCTCCTCAGACCCTACCTCCGTGGGACTCTACTGGGTTGCTGTTGTTGCTGTTGTTGTTTGGCCTTGCCAGGTCCCAGGTGCTAGGCTCTCTTGTCGTGCCTCACAATTTTAAGTATGCCAGAGTATATGATTAAGAATTTCAAGCTTCTTTTTCAGGCAAATCAGAAAATTGAAGAAAATCTAATAGCTGGACGTGGCATTGTTTTTTGTCGTGTTTTAGAAGCTATCCCTTATCAAGGCAGTGGTGATAAAATTAAATTGCCATCATCTTGTTTTACTGAATTGTCTGAACAATGTGCCTTTGAGAAAGGACCACTACATTTTTATTTGTCTGCAATTCATCAAAGCATTAACGGAGTTGATGAGACGTCAACGACCAACAGGACAACACATGCTGGTGTCTTGGAGTTCACTGCAGATGAGGGTTTCACACAGTTGCCTCCTCATATATGGAGTAATTTATTCCCTGATGAACATCACCCCATGACTCCTACAGTTGAAGTGCGTTATGTGTGGTTACCAAAAGGAACCTTTGCAAGACTTCAGCCTAATGAACCTGGGTTTTCTGACATCCCTAATCACAAGGCTGTTCTTGAAACAAGCCTTCGACAGCATGCCACACTATCAGAAGGAGATGTTCTCACTGTTAGTCACGGTGTGCTGACATATCATTTGCGTGTTCTTGAGTTGAAACCTTCTTCCAGTGTATCTGTTTTAGACACAGATATAGAGGTTGATGTAATGGGTGCGGATCTAACTGCAGATGGAACAAGTCAGCCTATACTAATACCTCTGACATTAGGGAAGCCAGAAGATGGAGCTGTTGAGGAGGGAAAATACATCTACTATAAATTCTCAATAGATGATGCCACGTGGGTAGGAGTTTCCTCTGGAGATGCCGAGATAGAAGTGAAGATAGACTCAAAAACACAGGATGGAGATACGGATTTGTATATATCGAGACATCCTCTCTTATTCCCAACACAACATCAGCACAGGTGGTCATCACATGACATCGGTTCGAAATCCTTAGTTCTTGGTTCTCAAGGCTTGGGAGTAGGTGCTTACACTGTTGGTGTTTTTGGTTTCAAGGGAACAACCAAATATCAACTCTCAGTAACTGTTCAAAACAAATTGAAGCCAATGTTGGGCCAGCAAACATCATTTGTTGAGACAGACACTATTGAATGCCGGAATTGTAAGCATTACATACCTTCCAGAAGTGTAGCGTTACATGAAGCATACTGTGTCAGGCACAATATAGTTTGTCAGTATGCCAATTGTGGAGTCGTTCTTAGGAGAGGAGAGGCTGAGAACCATGTCCACTGTGGCAAATGCGGGCAAGCTTTTCAGAAGGAAGAGATTGAGAAGCATATGAAAGTTTTCCATGAGCCACTTGATTGCCCGTGTGGTGTTGTCCTTGAGAAAGAAAAGATGGTAAGAATGTACTCAGTTTTATTCTGATCTGGCACATCAGTTTATTTTTTAAAAAAATCTGGCACATTAGTTAATCCAGTAGACCATTGACATGATTTCTTTGCATTGCATCATGTACTCCCTCTGTCCCCAATTAGATTCACTCTTTCATTTGTCTTTCGTCCCGAAATAAATTTCACACTTTTCCCAGCAAAAATGGAGTTCACAACATATCTCTTTTAAACAAAACCCTACCCCACACCTTTCATTTTTCAACACTTTTCTTGAACTCCGTGAAATCAAACTACAAATTTAATATCGGGACAAAGGGAATAGACATTTTCATATTATTGGGTAGTAATCCATTGTTATTTTCCTTACTAGTGTTACTATTATTAATATTCACTCTAGTCAGAATTTGTTGTCATAATATGACAACTCCAATTGGAGCACCCCTACGGTGTTCCGTTCATAAATTTGATGGTTCCTACCATCTCCAATGGGATGCCTACAAGAGATGCTAGGAGGAGAGAGAGTGAGATGTTGTTGGATGCTATTGTTGTAGGTGGATGCTCATTATAGATGTCCAAGGAAGAAAAAGAGAGGGAATGCTTCACATAGCATCGGTGCATGAGGGGGGAAGGGTTTCATGCATTTATTTCTTTAGTTTTGTGGTTCAATGATTATGTGCCATGTGTCATATATATATTCAATTCTTTTTATGACAACTTTCTTAAATAGCTCTCTTTTTAAATACTTTTCCAATAATGACTTTTTTTTTGTAATTCCAATAAATATTTTTAAGTAAATGTTTTTTTACAAATAGCTGCAAATTAGAATTTTTTTTCTTAAAAAATGGATTTACATCCAAATGGGTCGTTTTTAGATTTTTTTGATATTGATGGAGAACAAACTAGTTTTAAAATATAAAAAATAATTTTTTTTCAATATAATATTTTCAAGTTTTGTATAATTAATACTCCGTAATTTATTATTAATATTTTCAAGTTTTGTATAATTAATACTCCGTAATTTATTATATAACTCAATACTTATAATTAACAAAAAATAAAATATAAATATATTTTAGTGGACCTACTATATTAATTGAATAGATATTTAGGCATCCAAATGAGATGCTACCATTGAAAGAATAAGATGTTGAGAGAGGTGCTAGAATAACATCTTTATAGTGGAACCCACACTTGGGCATCTAATGAGAGATGTTGCCATTGTGGATGCTCTAACCCCCCCTAAACCCACCACCCCAGCTCCCTATGGATCTCCAATTTCCCAACCAATTTATTGTAAATTGGCTGCCTGCCAAATCGGCTATCTAGTTGTCATATTATGACATTATGGGTTGTTGTCAAAAGGAGGCTGATTAGTATTATTATGAATGTATTATTATTATTGTTATTATTACTATTATTATTATGAATGTAATGCAGAGTGTTTCTTTTTTGGGAGTAATGCGGAGTATTATTATTCAGAATGTATTATTATTATATTAATTGGTGTTTGTAATTGCCCCCCCTGCTACTGAGTAACAGGTGCAACATCAATCTTTTGAGTGCCATTTGCGGTTAATTACGTGCCGCTTCTGTGGAGACATGGTTCAAGCTGGGAATTCAGCAGGTGTAGATGCACGAGACCGACTGAGAGGACTCACGGAGCATGAGAGTTTGTGCGGTTGCAGAACAGCCCCTTGTGATTCATGTGGCCGAGCGGTTATGTTGAAGGATATGGACATACACCAAATCGCCGTTCACCAAAAGGGCTGACCCTTAATTGGTATTCATTCTACATTCCACATCGTGAATAATTCTTAGCTTCTCTGAATATGAAGACTGCTTGCTTGCACGTTTCCTCTCCATTTTGTATTTAAAATGGGATCGCAAACCAGCTGCTGATATTTGGTGTACCTATTTATCTATATTGCTATCGTTATGTTCGTCTGTTGAGTATGAATGGGGATTTGATGATGTAGTAGCGTGTGTTTTTCGGGCTCTGTCTAATTTTCTGACATTCTCGTTCCTGCATTAACAATTCTCAGCTATCTTTTGCCTTAATGTCCTTGCAGCTTTGCAATTGTTGTCTTTCTATTGACACGCTACGTGTTATAATAACTGGCTAACACATTCTGCATAATGCACATCTTTGAACCAGATCCTACCACAGTTTTTGCATGAGGACACTTTAAAGTGCAATATAAGCAATAAGATGCCTCTAAAATTGCTAACCAAGAATAGAACCAACTTAAGGAGGATAGTTTGTCGCTTTCTTCTCATCTTGTTCCTTTTATTAGATACGAGTATGATTCTAATGTCATTGCTCATACGGTCGCTAGAAAGGCAGAACACCGCCCTCATGGATGAGAGTTGAGACTCTAATACTCTATCCCTCCAAATTTTATTGCACCGTTCTTGGTGCATTAATAATATTGGTTTTTGTATTTGGAAAAAAAGAATAAAAGCAACTTAAATCAAGAATATACATAGTTACTATACCCTACACTTGGATGTATTATATTCTAGTATATCGGGTGAATATGTATTTTGGAGAAACAAAATGTTCCTTTCACAAATGTTCATTTGTCGGAAATACAATACTTATTTTCATACATTTGAAAAATGTTTGTATACATATTTGAAAATTACATTGTGTTCATTACAATTATACAAAATGTATTGATAGTGATCGGGTCTGAGGCTAATCAATTGGCAGGCCCAATAGCCAAGTTTAGAAGATAAAGGAATGGCTCAATAATAGGGGGAGGTTTACTAACTTGGTCGATCAAGGAATGAGGACTAGGCCTGTTGGAAGAATCTAGAATTAAATAATACTTTCTCTGTCCCTCAAAGAACTACACGTATTCCCTTTTTATTTGTCCCAAAAAGATTTACATCATTTATCTCTCCATAATAAAATTACTACAATACCCTCCCCTCACTCATCTTTACGTCACTTCTTTATTTCCAATCCCATCAATATCCACTCACCCACCTAGCCCCGCTCCACTTTAATTTTAAGTTGCTTCCCATCAATATCCCCACCCAGTTCCACCCCATCTTTACGCCACTTCTTTATTTCTCATCAATTTTACGTTGCTCCATCTTCATCTCTTCTCTTAAATTTAATTCCAAAATCGAATCTGTTGTTTCTTCCTCTCCCATCTTCTTCTGGAATTTGTCTTTTTATGTCGATCCGAAATCGAGATCCTTCGATGCCAACATTTGGCCTATGGTCTGAAGATTTGACGCCGAGATCTAGATCTCCTCCACGCTTGCCATCTAGATCTACTAGCTCTAGAGAAGTTACTACTTCACCTTACACATCGTCGGAGACAGACCCTACTTGGAAGTTCTGCAAGAAGTATGGATACGAGGTCGTAGAAGACACGTTAGATAGATTTGATGATCTCAAGAGTGACAAAGATGGAGGAGAAGAGGTAACATCTAAATAGTTGGTAAAAGAGTTTCACGTATCTAAGTGTTTTAATAGGTAACTAAGGTTGTGTTCCGCTCGCCTGATCTGATCTGATCTGATTTTTTGAAGTTTTGATCTGATCTGTTCTGGTCTGATTTGAGTAGATCTAATCTGATCAAATTAGATCTGATATGAGCTAATCTAATCTGGTCTATCTGATCTGATTGGATTTGATCTGATATAAATTTGATTAAAATTAATATTATTACTAAAATAGTTATAATAATCGAAATATTAAGAATAATAGTAATACTAATAATAACTATAATAATAATACTAATAATAATAGTAATAATAAAAGAAATAATAATAGTAATAGTAATAATAATAACAACTATAATAAAAATACTAATAATAATAGTAATAATAATAATGACTATAATAATAAGACTAATAATAATAGTATTAATTTAATAGAAATAATAATAATAATTATAATAATATCAATAATAATATTAGTAACAATGATAATAATAATAGTGATAATAATATTAATAATAATAGTAATAATGATAATAGTAATAATTATAGAAACAATAGTAATAATAATTATAGTCATAACAATAATAGTAGTAATAGTAATAGTAATAGTAATGATGGAAACCGCTTTTTCGGGGCGTCAACCCGATGAACTTGGTACCTGGCGGCACTGCACCGAGTAGCGAAATCCGGAAAATAAATAAATAAATAAATAAATAAATAAATAAATAAATAAATAAATAAAGCAGAGAAAAAGCATTTATAAATGGAAACCCAAATCGGGAGAAAACCACATGCCTTTTTAGGCGGTGTCATGCCAAGGGGAGGAACTTTTATTAATCTCAGGGAAATTTACATATACATCATTGTAGGAGCTTGGAGCCATTAATGGAGCTCCAAGCTTAAAGAAGAAGAAGGAAGAATAGTAATAGGAGCTTGTCCAATGTAGAAATTGGCCTCTCCCTTCTCCTCTCCGTAGCTTCTTCTTATAATAGGAGAAAGGAATGAGGTAATGGGAGACAAGGGATTATGTCTGGGTCCCTCCAAATATAGCTTTAGGCCCTTTTAAATATTTATATATCTCATCATATTATCTTCGTCGTCTTCATATGTCTGGCTTCGTCTTGAATAAAATATCTTATTTATATTTTGGGCCAGATAAATTTGGGCTTACTTGTACTGTTCAAATGATATTGGATTAGGTAAAATCCTTAATCCATCACATGTCCCCCTAGTTTTGAGTCTGTCTCGGGGAACGAGGCAGATTCAAAAACTATTTGACTCGGTGGGTTGCCTCATAAGATAGAACTCTCCTCGGTGCCTCGAGAAGAGGACTTTCTGTTTTGGAGGGTCTCGTTACCTTGTGGGTAAGGATTTAACTTGGTTCCTCTCGAAAGAGGACTTTTCTCGGGGATTTGTACCTCTTGGAAAAGGGCTTTTCTTTCTTTCTGGGCCTTTTAGAAGAGGGTTTTCTCAGGATTTGGTGCCTCTTGAAAGATGACTTTTCTCAAGGATTTGTGCCTCTTGGAAGATGACTTTGTTTGGACTTAATACCTCTTAAAAGAGGACTTTCTCGGGACTTAGTGCTCTTAGAAGAGGACTTTCTCAAGCCTTGGTGCCTCTTGGAAGAGGACTTTTCTCGGAGATTTGTGTCTCTTGGAAGAGGATTTTCTTGGGACTTTGTGCCTATTTGAAAGATGATTTTCTTGATACTTTGTGCCTCTTTGGAAGAGGACTTTCTCGGGCTTGGTGCCTCTAAGAAGAAGACCTTTCTTTTTTTAGTGCCTCGAGAAGAGGACTTGGTGCCTCGGGGAAGAGGACTTTCTTTAGACTCGCTTTTCAATATTCTTTGGGAGCCTCTAAACCGCAACCCGATATCTATCTCACAGTGGTTGGGTGCTCCGATGTTATTGAAGGATAGGCATTCCCCGCTCATCTCTCTTTCTAACTCTTTTCTCTATCTTGGTACATGAGTCTATGGTTATCTCTAGTAATCCGATCATCTAACTCCGACGGAATTACATATCTCTACTCTCTACTTTTTTACAGTATTATTTTTCTCAACTTGTACAACTCGTCTATTGTATTTTTTATGGATGGGACTCGCAGGACAAGGGTCGAACATGCTTGTTGGACCACGATGGAGCTCAACGGAAGGCGTGGCTCGCTGGTAGACGGGGAGTCTCTAGATAGTGGATGCCGGATGGCTCACTGGACTCCTTGGCTCACTAGAGGACGGAGGATCTTTGGATAGTGGACGGCGGACATTTCACTGCACTCCGTTGCTCCCTATAGGACGGAGGAACTCTCGACAGTGGACAGCTCATTGGACTCCCTTGCTCCTCAAAGGACGGAGGATTTCTGGATAGTGGACAACGAACATCTCATTGGACTCTCTTGCTCCTTAGAGGGTGGATGATTTTTGAGCAGTGGACGGCGGACAGCTCACTGGAGTCCCTTCCTCCTTAGAGGATGGAGGAACTCTTGACAGTGGACAACGGACAGCTCACTGGACCCCCTTGTTCCTTAGAGAACGGAGGAACTATAGACAGTGGATGGCAGGTGCTTGCTGGACTCCCTTGATCCTTAGAGGACGGAGGATTTTTGGTTAGTGGACAGCAGACTGCCCACTGGACTTCCTTCCTCCCTAGAGGACGGAGGATTTATGGACAGTGGATAGCAGACAACTCACTTGACTCCCTTTCTCCCTAGAGGATGGAGGAACTCTGAATAGTGAACGACGGACATCTCACTAGACTCCCTTCTTCTCTAGAGGATGGAGGAACTCTGAACAGTGGACATCGGCTAGCTCACTGGACTCCCTTACTCCTTAGAGGACAGGGGATCTCTGGACAGTGGACAACGGACACCTCATTGGACTCCCTTGCTCCTTGGAGGACGGATAATCTCTGGACACTGGACGGGGGACACCTCATTGGACTCCCTTACTTCTTAGAGGGCTGAGGATCTCTAAACAGTGGACATCAGACCACTTGAGGCTGGCGTCGTTCCTTTGAGAAACCTATGAAGCTTGAACAAACCCTTTCGGTACAATTGTAGTACTAGGAAAGAAAGTTGTAGAAAAAAATTAAATGACCTAAATTAAATAAATTATGTATCATTTCATACAAGATTATCTTTAAAGTTTCAATGAATATAACTTTCAATAATTTAAGTTCCGTTATGATTATAAATAAACTTAAGACAAAACATTGTCATTTATGAGATTTTTTTACCAAGTAGTTATTCACTTATGATTAATTTTATATAATTGTTTCACGAGTGAGAGTAAAAATATGGTTGAAAGTATTAATTTTAAGTATCATTGAAAATCTTTATAACATCACAAAAAATGGTGTTTACCCCAAATTTTTCGAAATGTTTAAATTTATTAAAGACTTTGACATTTAAATTTCAAATGTATAATGTAAGAATTTCATAAACAAATGTTATACGTCTTATTATTTTTTTAGCGTCTAGAGTTGATGTTTTATTTTATTTGATACGGAGTATTTGAAAAATGATGTGCGAATAAAACAATTACTCCCTCCGTCCCACTCTCTTTGTCCACTTACCTTTTGGCACACTATCCAATGCACTTCTTTAATTCATTTTATCTTGTAATTTGTATATTAAAAAATTATAGAAATTATATATTAATAATCTATATGTTAAGACAAATCAAACAAGATCACACATGACTATATTTAGGCTTACACATCGAGAGAATTTGATGAATCAAAGTGATTAGATGAACAGTTCCAAAAGTCAAAAATGGACAAAAAAAGTAGGACGGAGTTAGTATAAAATAAAAAATGTTTCATTTCGTCATTTCGTGCATGACACGAGTTAAAATATACTTAGAAAAAGGAGATACATGACAGCGTGGAAAGGAGTGCTGGGAAGCACTGGACATGCCCATAGTCCCCTTGTCCAAACTCCAAACTTATCTGCAATTATCGTCTCACTCTTCATTTCTTGCGGCTGTGTATATTTGAATCCATGGCTTCTCAAAAACTGGTCCGGTTCGTCGGCTTGGATGATATCACCTTGGAATTGGCTTCTTCTCTTCTCAGTTCCGGCTATTCCATTGAAGCATGCGAGGTCTGTCTTCTTTTATTCATTTTTTTCCAGTTTTTTCCCTTACCCGCCACAGTCTTTAGTCATTTGTTGTTGTTAGGAATAAAATATCGTGAGTTCTGAAGTATCTCAACTAAAATCTCAAGCGGTAGTTGGATGCAACATTTATTATACATATTTATGTAGATTTTGTTCTTTTCTTTGAATTGTGGGCTAGGGATCTTGTCATTTCGCCAGAGTTATCTCAATTCAGATATTATGAAATTAAGTAGCGGATCTTAATTTCTAACATGTAAAGACAATTCCCCTGAAACGAATTTAGATAAGTAAACCAAACATTTTAATGAACATTGAGAATCTGAGATTAAGTAAAGATTATGCTTACTCATATTAACTGAAATTTGATTTGACTGATAATTTTATCAGTTTACAGCAGCGGGCATTTTTTTGTTACAAGCACTGAGTTTTTGGGAAGTCTTTCACTGACTATGACTTTGAGAAAGAATTGCATCAAAATACTAGTACTCTATTGTATGTGATCAAACACTTATTTAAATCTTCCTAAACGAAAAAAAAGACTGAATTCTCAGTGTATTATTTACATTTCTTGAGGCTGGTATACTAGTAGTTTGGAGACACTGAACAACAACCCGGTGAAAGTGGGGTCTTGGTTGGATGTACATAGACCTATAGTTTTGAAAGGCGAGACGACCTTTTTTAAGGGGAGAGGCTGGCGATCAAAGACGAACATGGGGTGTTATATATACATATGTCATAGTTTCAGGAGGGAGTAGTAAAATTCAAAAAAACTGAGAACAAAAAAGAAAAAGGGACTGGGCAAACAAAAAACAGCACTGAAGATAAAAAAACCAAATGGACCAGGAAGCAAGAAGAAAGACTAGATGGCGATGCAAAGAAAACATTGGGAAAGCGTAGATGAGAAGAAAATAAACGCTGCTCGAGTGAAGAAAAAATACTGCTAAAGAAGATGAAGAAGAAGCTACACGGTGAACCTGGCGAGAACGACACAGAAGAGATGCAATGAGTCGTAGATCAGTCGCGGGTGCCGGGAAGTTGCAGAGCACTCCTGGATGCCAAACTGCCAATAATACTTCTTCGTTTTCCAGATGTGATATGCAGACAAGAGGCGCGGTTTGATGCTTTGGTCTCTGGGCAGATGATTGAAGCGAGGAAGGTGATTGCCTCAGGCAGTGAATGAGGCGAGGAAGGCGACCGCCCGAGGCGCGTGTGACAGATGTGTCCTCGCCTGGCTCACTTGATGTGATAAAGGCTCGCCCGGTCGCCTGATTGACCTTTAGGCGAGGGGGGTGACTGCCTTTCAAAACTATGCGTAGACCTTAACCCTATGTACAAAGAAGGTAGTTTTTTCTAAGACACTCAGCTCAAGAACAAAGACTTTGAAGACACAAAAGTCATTTGATATTCAATGCCTGGGTATATACAAGTATACAACTAGAAAATGCTAAGTTGCCTACTTTGTTCAGGCAGGCAGCATTCAGAAACCCATATTGCTCAACAGTCTAACCATATAGACTTCAGATTTCTTTTCCATGTGATATTCTTAAGAGATGTACCTCTTTTGACAATATATAGAATTACAGTATGTCAGTATCCAAATTCAACAAATTTGTGTTATGCCTGTTAGAGAACCTTGATGTGCATCATTTTTGTAATGTTAAGTATGGTTCTCTTCTGGATTTATTTGACCTCATTTGTACTCAATATGGTTTTATGATAGGCATTCAGTCCTTTGATCGATAAGTTCGCAAAACTGGGTGGTAAAGTGTGTGACAGCCCAACTGTAGCAGGGGCAGGTGACATGCACTGATTTTGTTTATGCATTTACACACATGCGCGCACACCCACAACTACACAATACTGCAGATTTGTTTGTTTCTGAATTCATCCTACACTTTAGAAAGCAAAAGAGGAAACCTTCATATTTACCAAAAAAATCAAAATCATTGGCTTCTATGTTCACGTGTGACGAGGACGTAGCAATAACTAAATATCTTCCACTATTTTGTCATTTTTCTGAATTCAGGAGTAGCTGCTTTGGTCATATTGTTAGCTCATGGTGATCAAGTCAATGATGTTATTTTTGGTCATGAAGGTGTTCTAAAAGGTATGCCTTGATATTTTCAAAATAGAAATATGTTTTAGTTTTGCAATATTATGAGATTTATTAAGGTTCACTTATTTTCATTTTTAAAAGGGTTAAACAAAGATGTAGTGATCATTCTCCACTCAACTATATCACCTTCAGACATTCAGAAGCTACATAGAAGTCTAACAGGTAATTTCGTTGACTGAACTCTTATGTGTATACTTTTGGATTATGTTTTTTTGTTGTTTGTAAATGTACATTCAATGCACTATCATATCCATTATTGGTTAGGTTAAAAATACCCAGTTAAAAAATATAGCCATCATTGATTAATTGAATTATGAAGTATCTTACTGTTCAACTGAGCTAAAAGGAAGTATTCTCTGCACAGAATGTATCAAGCTACAACCAAGGTTTGGTTCACTTTTGAACTCTTTATCTTTTGTTTTCCTCTTGCAGAGGAATATGCAATGGCTTTTGTAGTAGATATGTACGTCTCAAAGGCCGTTTCAGAAAATTTAAATGATAAATTAATGGTAACATACTAAGGAGTACAAGTTGCTGCCACACTCCCTTGACTGCTTATTTTGAGTTGTTTTTTCTAATCTCTCTGATGTTCAGATTATTTCCTCTGGAGGGTTGGAATCCATTAATAGAGCACAAGCTATTCTTTCTGGTATGATTGTTCATCAGCTGAATTGCACATTTTACTGACATAAAATTTAAATTTAGAGTTTATTTCCACACCTTGATGACACACACTTATCATATGACAGCAATGGGTGGAAAACTTTATGCCTTTGAGGGTGAACTTGGTGCTGGAAGGTATTTGCTACTCCTTTATCTTTTTTATTTTTAAAACTTGAAACCTCTTCATTCTTTTCTCCTTTGCCCATCTCAAATAGTCATCTCTTATCTTTTACGTTATGTTTGGTTCATGGAGTTCGGAAGGAAAATGAAAAGAATGAGGTTTCTCTCCTTTTCCTCACCAAAATGGAAGGGAAGTTGTTTTTCCTCTTCTTAGTTTACTTTCTGCTCTCATTTCTTTTCCTTTCACTTTTCTTTTCTTTCCTTCTCTAGCCAAACAACAAAAAATGTTTTCCGTATCATTTTCTTTTCTTTTCTAGTTCAAATTCCTTGAACCAAACACAGTGTCAAGAAAAGAGTTAAGTGGTTGGTATTTTTTCTATCTCTTCTAAATAAAGCTCAATTACATAGTTTCCATTTTATTAAACTATGCAAAGTGAAATTGGTAGATAAAACAGGGGAGAAGACAGTAGTAAAAAAATTCATTTACATGGAAACGGGAAAATTTAACAAGTCTTAAAGTGCTTAAAATTATATGCCTAACAATCAGGTAATATCATACCAAGCCAAGAAGAATACAGACATAGATAAATATAATTTGATAGTTTGAACTCAACTGGTCACAAACTAACAATAGCACCTTATTTGACCCTTCACAGCAAAAGTAAAATGGTGATTGAACTTCTTGAGGGCATTCATTTTGTTGCTTCTGCGGAGGCCATTTCTCTTGGCACTCAAGCTGGGATTCATCCATGGATAATATATGATATTATATCTAATGCTGCTGGAAACTCATGGTAAGTTGATAAGTAGGGAGGCTTGTCAGCTCCTGCAAGCAGCAGATATTAATGTCTATTTTGTTCTTATCCAAAATCATTGCAGGGTTTTCAAGAACTACGTTCCCCACTTGCTCAATGGACAAGCGAAACAACATTTCCTTGATGTCCTTATTCAGAATATGGTGAGCGCTTTTTACATAGCACTTGATGATTTTCTTTTTCTCAGAAACTTTTTTGAACTACTTATTTGAGGGAGGGAGGGATCTAATTTCAATATGACTATCAATTCAATATTTACACCCATGTCACATCTAATTTCGGTCAAGTTTTTTATTTTTAATTTTATATAGTGGCTGGTTTTTGTACATTTCAGGGGGCTGCTTTAGATGTGGCCAAGTCCATGATATTTCCTCTTCCCCTTCTGACAGTTTCCCATCAACAACTTGTAGCAGGTTATGACACAACTCCATTTTCTTCTTTCCCGTGTTGTGCTAACCACTTCCTTGGGGTCAGCTTCAACTGTTGATGGTGTTTCTTTTCTGCAGGATCATCGAAAGGGAAAGACAATTATTGTTCATTGCTCAAGGTCATATATTACGGCAATTAGAGAGTATTTTCTAAACAGGAGTTTCCCTATACTGTCAGCAATTTCAGCATTACTTTCTGCATCTAAATGTAAACAGCATGCTACAGGTTTGGGAATTCTTACTAGGGGTAAATATCAGCGAAGCAGTCAATGCGGAAAGTTACAAACCTGATGAGCTGGCTGGTCATCTTACTGCCAATTCATATACCGTGAAACGTATTGGTTTTGTTGGTCTTGGAGCAATGGGATTTGGCATGGCAACTCACTTGTTGAGATTAAATTTCTCTGTCATTGGTTTTGATGTAATGTGTTAAACCATTTTTTCCTGGTGCTAGACTAGATCCTTGTCTGTTCTCCATTTACATGTATAACAAGTGCATGTAGAGACATAATTCACTAGCTTTCGGTGCATGAGATATACTTCTTTAAGGTAGTGTTTGGGAACTTCGATTATATTTGAATTCTGGGATTTCAATTCTCAAAATTTGAATTCTTGAATTTCAAATGACAAGGGGGAGTATATGAATTTTTAATTGAGATTTGTTGGAAATTATAGGAATTCAGCCTAAATTCAAATTCTTTGGATTCCCAAACTTGTAATTTGGGTCAAATTTGAACTTGAAATCCACATCTAAGTTCCCAAACAGACCTTTAAGGAATTAAAACTTAAGTTCTTCTCTAGTTGTAAAATAATGAAATGTTTTTGAAACTCATATGTACGACTTATGAGTGTAGTGATAGTGGAATACTTATCTTTGGTATTAGGTATACAAACCTGCACTCTCTCGATTTGTTAGTGAAGGTGGCTTGACTGGTGGTACCCCAGCAGAAGTAGCACAAGGTATATGTCTGTGTTTTTTTCCTTTTTGGCTAAAGTGTAAATATATATTGAGAATCCAAAAGTCAGATAAATGCATTTGTTTATTAGTTGCATTGACAATTGCAAATAAAACACGATTTCTTGTTCTGTTAAGGAATATGATACGGAGTATTACTTAAGAAAGTATAACCTTTTCTATTCTACTCTTTTAGATGCTGATGTACTTGTTATAATGGTCACCAATGAAGCTCAAGCTGAAAGTATTCTATATGGAGACAATGGTGCTGTGCCAGGTTTATATCACTTTTGTATTTATATGAATAACTTTATTCCTGCCTTCAATTTTTTGTCATGATGGAGTAACTATGTTGGATGGTGTTAAAAGCACTTTCACACGGAGCATCTATCATCCTCAGCTCCACAGTTTCTCCGGCATTTGTCAGCCAATTGGAGAAGCGATTACAGAGTATGTTCTTGTATATCCTACATATGATGCTCTTAAAAGTTCATGCAATCAATTTCTAGTGACAATCTAACTTGTTTGTATGTGGAACAAAACTTCAAGACTCTGCCCTACACATTAACTTTAGAGTAAATTTTGGAAATGATCCTCTGTAATAGGGTTTGTTGCACGTTTACTCTATCTCACAAACTAGTACTCGTGGTCCTATGTATTTGAGAACACTGCTGTTTTACATTTCGTTAATTGATGGTTACATTGAATTGTAGATTCCAACCGTTCTCCTTTGTAATTGGAGTTTATTCCACATTTAGTTCCCAATAAAAATAGAATTATAAATAAAAATAAAATATATTTTATACAAATATTGTTATTTTAAGAATATTTTTTCATTATCGTTTTGTATAAACTCTTAAATTATTATGTTCAATAAAATTATTTTATATTGTCTAACAGAATTTGTAAAGAAGTTAATTATTTAATGTTGTTACTATCTCAAAATAAAATGTAAAAATAGATTTTAATTAAGTTAATACATACTAAGCTAACAACAATTTAGAGGCATTCACTCACGAATCTAAAAATTAATCTAAACCCCCACTTAATTTCACATTAATCTTTCCATGTTCAATTTTTTTAGTGAAACATCAAGTTATATTATTATTTTAAGATTTTTTAATGTAGACATGGAAATATCAATGTGAGTACAAAATGACAACCAATTTAATTTTGAGATATGTGAGCGAATGACTTTAGATTATTGTTAGCTTAATTATTTTTGTATTTTTACGTTTTTAAGTTGTCATTTTGAGAGTGTAATGACTAAATCAGCACGGATCATGTGACATTCGATTTGGATGCCATAGCATGACCCGAGCCTCTTACGGGGCTCCGTTGGAAAAATTGATGGTTCCTACACCCCAACCCCCCAGTTCATCGATCGGCTACAATGGTCACCATAGCCAATTGCCGAGCTGAAACCATTAATTTTACCAATGGAGCCCCGTAGGAGGCTTAGGTCATGCTATGACATTGGTTCAATGTCACTTGAACAGGTTGTAACTAATAACACACAATAATTACTTTCTCACCTTAGTTCCCATGACATCGAGATTCAATGTCATGGGATGACCCGAGGTTAATACGATGCTCCGTTTGAAAAATTGATTGTTCCTACTCCCCCTAACCCTCCAAGTAAACCCCCCATCCCCGACCCAGCCCGAACATACCCATGCACCCCCGTCAATTGCATGCCACAAGATTTAGTTGACTTTGGAGTCAAAACCGAACATACCCCCGCACCCCCGTCAATTGCATGCCACAAGATTTAGTTGACTTGGAGTCAAATTTTGACTCCAAAGTTAAATAAATCTTGTGGCATGCAATTGACGGGGGTGTGGGTGTATGTTCGGGCCGGGCCGGGGGTGGGGGTTTACCGGGAGGGTTAGGGGGTAGGAACCATCAATTTTTCAAACGGAGCATCGTAGAAGCCCTAATCGGGGCCCATTTCATAGGATGACATGGGGGGTTCATGTCACCCGAACCGCCCCCTTACTTTCTTTACAAAACTTTGTTGGACAATATAGAAAATTTTATTGAACAGAATTTTTTGTAGAGTTTATACAAAAGAACAATGTCCAAATATTTTTGCAATAACAATATTAGTATAAAATATAATACATTATATGGAAAATTCACATCAATACTCTCAAATTTGACCGATTATACAATTTCACTCCAAGATTCTTTTTTGCATGCCAATACTCCGAGATATCACTAGATTTTATGTAGTACATCATTACTTTAGCTTGGTTGAGTTAGCTTCACGCTTAAATACATGTAATTATTTTGTCTTGACATAGTATTTGCAATATTGAGTTGGACATCATTTGGATTTTTTTGAATAACTTAGTTGAGGAACCCTAATTGAACCCGATAAAATGGTCCGTCTTCTTCCTTGTTTTCTTTCCTATCGTGAAGGCAACTCAATCTAAGAGCTTTGATGCACTTTGCTTTCTCCTCAGCGTGTTTCGATCTTCTCCCTAATAACTTAGCTTTTTTAGGGAGTGAGCTTCTCCCTAATAACTGAACATTATTAGGGTATTATTTTAGATGTGTTGCCAACTTATTGTTTCAAATGTCATGTCACTCAAAATGATTCAACCCTAATTAAGCACAAAGCTGATTCAACCAGGCTGGAGTAGCGATGTAAAATTCGATGATTTCTTGAAGTATTGGCGTGTAAAAGATAATTTAGGAGTATTGGTGTGAGTTTTGCCAATATTATACGGAGTATTTTGTTTATAGTTTTTCTAACCAAGGACTAAACATGGAATAGACTCCATTTACAAAGAATGTCCATTGGAAATTTACTATTTCTTGGAGGAATTTTATTATTTAATTTAAAAATAAATGAAAAAAATTACAAAAGACCATTTTTAGAATTTGCTCATAGCCTTGTTGTTATATATATATATATATATGTATGTATGTATGTGTGTATATATATATATATGTATGTATGTATGTATGTATGTATGTATTTTTATCCAGTTTATATACTTCCATCGTCTCTCTCATTTTCTTGAATCATTATGTATGACTCATATTTTTTCATTTTCATTGTCACATAACATATTTGAAAATTTCCAAGATGAACAGAAGAGTTTGAAATTAGTGGATGCTCCTGTTTCTGGTGGTGTAAAGAAGGCCTCTAATGGAACACTTACGGTATGATGACGACTTTTTAAAAAAATGACTTCTTTAGAAACTATGATGTATAAGATTTGGTATTCTCTTGGCCCAAACTTATCGGTAGATATTTTTATTTTGATATTGTTGATATTAGATAATGGCATCGGGTACTGAAGAAGCCCTCAAGCACACTGGTAGTGTGCTTTCTGGTAAGCATGAATGGTTTGCTCTTTCCTTTAAAAATGATAACAAAGGCGAACAGTATGAATACAATAAAATCAATGCACGAGTACCCTACATAACTGGGGTTTTGGGTTTCTAATTTGGAATACTGTTCTGCCACTAGACTTGAGCTTAGCCCGTTAGGGGTAGGGCATATATCGTCAATACTCTATAATATTCT